GAAGAAAGACACGTGAAGTATTATCCGCCACGAGAGTTAAAGACTTGAATGAAACGACCTTGAGAATTCACATTCCCCTGTATGTCGACATGGCACTGAGGTTAATTAAGGCAACAGGATAACACGTGATAATAAAAGGGAAAGGTCGGACGCCTTGAATACAAATGATAGTAGCCAAAGAACTACGGCAAAGTGAATAGGTAGTATTCCACACCAGGTTGTGAGATAAAGATAAAAATAAAGGTCTTCGCCGTTTAAAACACCCATGGGTTTTTTTCCTCGGCACTGCATTCATACTTCCTGGTTGCGGCACGCATTCTACTTCCATCAAGTCGCAGTGGCTCACTGAATCGATGTGGCACTATACAAATGACTTAGGGGGGGGGTCAGCCATGTACAAATCAGTGTATTGATCCTCTCAACAAACTCCAATACCAATTTATGGCGGAAGGGAAAAGGCTGGTTGGCCTAAGCGGAAATCGAACCGAAGTTGACCAGGAAGTCAACCAGGATTCGAGCCAGGACCGAGTGGTGAGCGCGGTCTTGAGTTCCGAATCCCTGGTAACTTCCGGTAGCGGCGGTTCTGAAGTGAATACCCAGTCACTTCCGGTCGTATGAAATACAGTATATAAGGCACCAGACTTTCAAGGTAATCCTACAAACAGTTTACTCGCAACTAAACGTGCTGCCTATGGAGATAGATAGAAAGAAGAAAAAAGACAAAATTTGTATAGAAGAAGATAAATTAATCAAAGCTAGGTAAAAATATGAATAGAAAAGACACAAAAGAAAATAAAAATATATAAACATGATAAAATAATATAAATTAAAAATACGAAAGGTGAGTTACGATTCTGTGATTATATATGCAATTGTTTGGTATAATTTGTTTTACGGTAAATGCGTTTTAGATTTCACCATTAGATGCAGCCACAGGCTGAGATGAGCGAACACATGGAGTATTTCAGTGAATAAGTTTCATGGCACTTGAAATGATGCAGATGCAGCTGTATTTTTATGATTAGTGTGGGTATTTTGAGGTTTTAGTAACGCAACGTGGTAAATATCTGGCCGGCGGCGTTCTTTGGGTATGAGTTTTCTGATGATTCTCATTGTATTTACAATTTTGAGTTTTTGTTGTCTATTTGATTGATATACGACATGACTGATTATTGGTAGGAATTTAGGACATTATATCATATTTAGTGAAATATAGTATCTCAGGAATGGACTTGTGTTATGAGTACATCGTAATTTGATGGCGTTGAGATAGAGAGCATTTTTTAGAGCGTTGAGGTGAGGAGCGCGAGGGAGCCGATCAATACGGGTGAACTATAATGGTGGTATTCCAGATACAGTTAAAGGGAATTATTGATCATTAATTGAGAGTTGATGTTCAGACTATAGGTCCAAGCCCATTAGAGACGCAGTAGTTCAGATGTATTAGCAGTTATTAATATTTCCTATCAAGGTAGAAATATCAGCACACTCAGACAAGGTATATATGTGGCGGAAGATGGCGGGTTCAGATGCTTAGGCCGGAGGTATGGCCTACTCCTGCAGACCCATGCAGGAGCCTCCCTCCCAAGTATGAATGAAGATCCTGACATTGGGCCCTGACGGCTAGGACCACGACCTCGCCAGATGTCCGACGAGAGCCGTCAGAGCGGTCCCACAGCCGGCTCCTATCCACTGAGGCACGAGAGCGCGACACTGCGAAATGGTACGGTCACTGTACTGAGGAAGGCCTAGAACAGACCACCCATAGGAGGCATTGGACCTCAAGATAGACGGCACGCACGAGGAGCCCGCGAAGATGGAGACGTCTCCAGAGGACCCACTGACATGAGCCACAGCGAGATGCAGTGGATAGGACAGTGGGCGGACGTCTACACCGATCAGCGGACCCTGTCGACGGCGCGACTTACGCTAGGGAGGAGAAGAGAGTGGCGGGTGTAATGAGCACTACAGTAATTGTTTTTGACTGAGTGCTAGTTGCCTCTACACCAGCTCGTCATATTTTATCCGGAATACACATAGAATTTATTGATAGACACTCCAGCGCTATATCACGTAAAAGAGGAATCAAATTCGGAAGTGGGTAACGAAATTTGAGCAAAAAACAGGTAAGAAGATAAAAAAATGTGGCCGTCGGCGGTTGGTACGTGGTCCCGCGACGAACAATGCTCGTAACCAGTTCTCGCGCAAAAAATATAAGAGAGGGCGCTAAAAGCGCAACATAGGTTTTAGTGCACCTCCTTTTTCCAGTGACTTTTGCCTCCGACTTCGCTTTCAGGCACGTCGCTCAGTGAAAAACGAAGCTGGGCAGGATGAAAAAGCAATCAAAATCGTCACTTGTACAGGTCGTGGACTTCTTATAGAAGAATTCAGCTTGTGCGAGATCAGGGCATAGTATTGAAGCAAATGGAAGTTAATTGGGCACGACACAATGGGACGGAAATGCGGATGCTCTTCTAGGCGGCACGTTTTTTCTCGCTTTTATTTTCTTAACACTATGGAGTTAACTCGGATCCTTGATACGTCTATATCTTTATATGCAATCCCACTAACAATACCAAGTCAACCAGACGTCAGATGTGATGAAAGGCTCCCATGAACTAAAAGCACAATAGGACCGGCCCACAAGAGAAAAAAAAAGCAAAGGAGGTTGCGAGTTTGCATTTTTCACATCGTATTAATCTCTGAGGGCAATAAGGCGAGTACTAGTACTAAGCTGTCCAGATTGACAGAATTATTTGAGACCTGTTGAAACGTAATTGCCCATAAATCGCTGAACGCCTTTGATAAAATCTTTGAAACTGTTTCAGGTGTCACAGCATCGGCGAAGTGAGAGACGCTATACCCATTTTGAAAGAACGGTTCCCAAGGAGAAAGATACATATTCCAAAGGTTTCGCAAAATTTTTCTTTCATAAATTTTACTGACTATCATTAGCAGGGTTTCTAATGATTCGGTTAGTTCCTAAGAACGTACAGAGGGGAGCCAAACAGACACTTCAGCAGAAAGTCACATATCCGTGAAGTTTTCGAGCACAGAACAGAAGAACAGTAGTATATTAGTACCAAAAGGCGCAAAGATACCCTAGAATGTATTCCACGCTGAGCCAGACGAGCAGCCATCTCCTAGTCAACCATCATGTACACCAAAATGTGAAAATTAATCTCTCAAGTGAACTGCAGAAGGCCTATATATTCCGCGTTTACCTCCCACCTGCACGAACTTTTTGATATGGCGAGCCCGACCATGGAACAGCTACACTGCAAGAACCGCACCAGCTTAGATCTGAAAGACATCCACATCGGAGCGGCTTCCGATAAACGTCGCTACTGCCCGCACAGGATATCATTCTTATACAAGCAGTAGCCAGGCGCGATAAGATGGTAATGGACGGCAGGACGCGCTGGAATGGAAGACCAATATTTTTATCGCTGGAACCCGGGCTGAAGCTGAGGCTGGCCGGTTTCACCATGCGAGACACTCGAGATGAATATCCCTAATCCTACATTGTCGTTTACCTGTACCGTCACTTTGAAACTTTGTATCGCTACGGGATTTGGAGTGCCACACAATGCAATCGAAGGGCTTTAGAGAACTTCGCTGACTTGGAAGGAATGGCGTTGAGTACGCTAATAAGAGAATACAGAGTAACCATTGAATAAGTTTGTCACATGACCTAAACCTCCTTCGATTGCCGGGTTGAGGGCGGGAGCTCAGTAGGGAGTGTCTACAAGTGACAGCACGAAAAATACAGACGGGTCTCGCATGATACCCAGGCCACTGCTAACGACGGTCGCGCAGAATCTCTCGATGAGCAATTGTTCGGAAGGATATCAATGTTAGTGTAAACATGTGCTGAAATTGGATGATGGTAGTGAATAATGTCGCAATCAAGAAATTCGCAAATAAAGTTAACCTATATCGGTTCTTGAAAGTCGAGAAGAAAAAGTGTCTTTTTCAGCCTCACTGTAAGGTACATATGTCACTATTGACTCACCTAAGGAACGAGCAGTGAAAAATGGCTCAGAAGTTTATACAGAGAGCTGAGTTATGGGCAAAAATGAGACCTAATATCAGAGCTCAAACCCGGGATCTTTACTGCCCGATTTAGCGGTTATCCACTACGGTCTCAAGCAACGACATGAGTGCTACTGGTGCGTAAGTGGATAACACACTGTGCTCGATCAGCGGAAAGATGCGATTAAGAATCCGTCTGTGGGTCTACCAATAGCTCATAAGCTCTGATCCTTCTGATAAAAGTAGGCAAACGCAAAAAGCTGAAAGCGGTCAACCAATTCAAATTTTCTGTGACACCAATCCTCCTGATTATTGATTATTACAGATTTATGAGCAACGAAGATGTTCAGCCGAATGGAACCAGTCAAAGGGTACATAATCATGGAGTACTTGCAGGATCTGAAAGTTGTTCCATATATATTCGAAGACGTTAACACCAAAAGGATTTAAAAGCAAGGTTAGCTAACTGAGAAAAGTGAGTGAGAATGCTCCGTGAAGTGGAATAACGGGACAGTTCAGATCCGATCGCTATTTACTGAGCAAAGATAAAAGGTACTCACCAATAGATCCTTGAGACGAATGGATACGACCTTTATTAAGATCTACGACAGCAAAGCTGTGATGGAGGCAAGTTCCCTCGAAATGCTATTGGAGGAAAGAAATGAAATACCATCTCCACTTCAAAAACACTTTTTTGGAGCGAATATTCCAGAAGAGGTACGGAATAGGCTTATGAACAATCGGGCTGCGAAAAATGGAAAAATTAGCTTGCTTCATTTTTTTGATACTGGATACATCTTTAGACCCAATAGAACAAATAAGTGAAGTTGTTCTTCTTCATTCCGACGATGGAAAGGTTTTGCGAGAGAAGGGCAGAAGCGTTTGAAGGCGATTTTGGCCGGATATGGTTAACCTGGACGGGTGGACAATATGACAAGGACGCTTGGTGATTGATAACAGTACGATTGTTCAGGTAACTTTTGAGAAAGTTCATTGATAAGCTTGGAGGACGCTCAGAGCATTTCATTAACGAAGATGACCTTGCATACAGCGCGTCGCGAATTTTCTTGAAAGAATGCTTCCAAAGGTCGCTCACCGGATATTGCAGGTAGTCATTCGTAGGAGTATGAAGCCTTTTGCAAGATACTAACTGTGCTGTGCTCCTGAGACCTGTTTTGCGTATACTGTAAAGGAAATTCGAAAGTTAACTCAGAAATCCTGCTAACACATAGACACAATGGTTTCTGCTGGTGAGTGATATGGTATTCTAGAAATAACCAGGACACTTCAATTCCCGGCGGTGACCATTTCTGTGGGAAACGCGTGGTTCTGATTTCTTTCGAAATTGGCATAGATTTTCCAGGCAAATATTTTGCCTGTACGAACATATCCAGCTTACGATGGGCTGTTATCGCAAACAAGCTTGACTTTGCTTACTCTCACAGGAATCAGCGCACAGAAGTGCAGCGAATCGGGCGTGTGCGAATCCCCATCAACTATTCACAGTGTTTCGCTCTAGGGTAGAACCCAAAAAATCGCCGATATGTTTCCAACACAATAAAGAAGAACAGAAAAGCAAGGCAAGTAGAAAACGGGAGAAAGTAAGGGAAATATATCTCCCACAAAAATTGTGTGGAGTAGGGGAAGATGTTATTGGTTCCGGAAGGACGGCGACCGTAGAACGGAGGAAAATGGGTGAAGGTGAAAGGTACGGTGGTGAAGATGTATGGCAGGTATAATGAATTGAAGAGATATGAGATGTAGCATTTCAAATTAAACAACATCTTGCAGAAGACTATAACCGGCACCTTATTCCAAGGCGCCTATAGTTTTGAAATAATTTTAGACGCCAAAAAAACAGACTGTATTGATAGCACGAACTTTAGCGGCTAATTTTTATTCTCGAGTGTGCAATTTACAATCGCAGTGAGGATTGATATACATGGGCGAGCCTATGCAGGCTTTTATTTCGGCAGTTCCAGTTGTTAACGCGGAAGGCTAACTATTGGCGTACGTGTCCAGAAGGAAATCCCTAGCTCCGTGTAACCAAAAGGGGACAAATATAAAGTCTGTTTGACATGTTTTGGTTGGTTCTTATGAAAAACCACACGCAAACGTGATCCCACCCCTGTTACACCATCTCAAGAAGCTTGCTACAAGAGATCCGTGGGCAAGATTCACTACGCCAGAAGGAACACACCCCTGCGTTAAAGAGGGAATCCAATTAATGTCTGATAGCGCCAAAGGATAGAGCTCTAGCGTGTAAGTTTTGAATGGCATGGCGTAAAGTGATGCAGCAGAAAAGTGATTTGCATCGATTCTTCTCTTTCTCCAGAAAAGAATACTTATTTCCAGGATAGGAAGATGTTTTATGTCACGAAGTGATTTAAGTGGTCCATGAATGCTTTTTGATGGAGACAAAATGGATCTAGTCTTAACATGGACTGCTGATTAGTGGACTATCAGGTAAATCTATGAGCTTCAAGGCGAAACGTAAGAACTGAGTGTATGCTTTAATAAACATGAACCAAAATCAACTCAGAACAGCACATTTCGGTTGTGGGGCACGACCGAACTTGTGCGCCTACTCTGTGCATGTCTGCAGAGCGGCAAGGATCAGCCAGGAACATTGGGAAGCAGCTCGTGGAGGATTCTATGGTTATATCAAAGAAGAAGTAAAGATGACAGGAAAAGTGCCATACAACTCTTGATCAAGTAAGAGTAGCTTACATCTAACTCCAACTTCTAATGCTTCTCAAACTAACCTATACTCCTGAACTCCGAATCCTTTCAGCTCAAAGAAGCTTATCGCACAAATACTTTCCAAGATCGGCGCGTTTTATGATACGTGCTATACAGGACATTTTCAGAATGGTGTGTAAGACCACGGCATAGAGATCATCAAAAGAAGGTAAGTGCCAGCCGACATCATAACGTGTTGCCGTACACTAAATGATTTGACTGGTATTCTTCTAGCGGTTAATTGGAATTAGTCCAGGGAGAAAACTACTGAGGTGTCTGCTTGAATGACATTTTCCGTTATAAACGACCGAACTGAAGACTTGGGAAAGGAGAAAAAGTTGTTTGAAGTGTTTAATGAAAGATTTTCGTTCATGACTGTTTTTATCAAATGCTAACGAATTAAGCCCAATGGCCATCCATCCAATAGCTGGAAAGAATCATTGGTGTGGACTTTTCGCACTCCTACCCGGTAAATGACGGTATGTAACCGGAATACGCAACATGGGAAGGGTTTGGGAAGTCGATGTCTGACCGTTTCTCCACCTGCCGTGAAGCGCGAGGTAGTCTGTCGCATCGCGAGGAAATTCACAGAAAAACTTCCGATAAGTAAAAGACAGGTGCAACGATTGTCTTCTTGTGAGCAAAGAAAGAACAGCCCGTTGTTTATTTTTCAGATCCAATTATTGCTATTGACTGTCACCTGGACGACTCAGACTGGACTATCGAGAACACTGGCTCCTTACCATAGAAGCGGATTGAATCAACGCCGACTTTCATTTCCCGATATACCACAAGTAGAACGGCGGGACAGCTAAATCGCAATATCTCGATTTGAATGGCCGTAACGAAATGACTTTCCGCTTTACTAAACAGCAAAATGCGCAATTTTTCTTGAAGGTTCCTTCATAGCTTTTAGATCGTGTAACGGCTACTTGTTTCACGTTGAAAAGTGAACGCTTCGTGTTCACCGAAAGGTTCGGAAACTATGTGTTCGTCATAATTTTACTTCGTTACTTTGCTGATTGTGCGCGGATGGGCGAGGATAGTATTACCGCTGTAGTAGGCCTAACAAAAAAGAGTCAAAATTTCACGAGAAGTTTTTCTTCGCCAACTATTCTTTTGATGATATTCTGAGTTTCTTGCCCAGTTATCATGAACCCCTCCTACAGTTAATGTAATAGACTGTTTGATAAAGCTAATACACGTCCTCCAAGATGTGGGAGGCGCCAGTAGAGTGTGTATAGAAAGCCACACAGCTCTCAGCTTCCACAATCACGCACACCATCATAGGCCCAAAAGAAGACCAAATTTTTGGGGCGGTGGAATGGAGGCTAGTGGAGGCAAAAGTCCTCCCGCGAGAGTGGTCTAGACGCACTTGGCATATTCCCCGCACTATGAATCAACTTCCCAGCTGGCATTGCAAACTATGAAATGCTGGAGTTTCCTTCTGCAGTCTCTCTAGTTAGAAAATCAGACCGTTGGAACGACGAGAACATTAGCTGACGAAAGTACAAGCGAAATGTCATCCAGCCGATCCTAAAGATGAGTGGGGCAAGGAACTTACATATAATAGTACGGCAGTCTTCACACTATTATTGCCAGAAGAATAGGCTTACATTAAAAGAGCGCGTCCTGCGGTAAAGTGTCAAGGATGATTGCTGATTATCAGTTATGAAAACAGTAAGCTGATAAAGTACTCCTCACTGACAGGAAAAAAGAAACAGACCGCTCAGAGAACACGCATAAACAAGCCTGCGCTCACAGTCACAACTTTCCTGCGATCTGCTGTGCAAAGCCGCACAAATACTTTGTCACATCTTCGCAGTAGTGGATATCAATACGAATGCGAAGAAAGAAAAAAAACAACAGAAATAATAGAGGAAAAAACTCTTGAAAGAAAGGAAACATTCAAAATAGCGGGCGTCGAACTCTGGTTACGGTAGGCGAAGCATGTTTCGTTAGGAAAGTGCGTCGAGCTTTTGCAACCAACAGAAATTGACATCATTCGTGAATTCTTAGCGTTACTTACCAAGAATGGATTGCTGTTGACTGTACGTGCTCCCAATGCAATAGAAATGAGATAAGAAGCAAAATTATTTTACGAGTACAGAAGCGCGGTCACAAAAAAGTAACATATTCAAATTTAATTGACTGTCGTCCCAACAGGAACGAACTGGAGCGGCTGCTCCGTCAGAGGCAAGCTAGCAGTAGGAGCGGTCCAGGCTTGAGCGGGCGTTAGAACTAGAACTTTGAGCGTTCTATGCTGCTGAGGAGTCGACGAGAGTGAGACAGTATTTTAGCTTGGGGCTGGAACGACATGCCCAAGGACAGGAAGACCATAGTATGCTTGAGCGCGGGAGCTTTCTTCAGAGGAGAGTGAACCAGACGAAGATTAGGGCACAAGTGCTGAAGATGTCGCTTCTCATTAACTTAGGGTAACGCAGTAAACACTAGCAAACAGCATATCACAAGAACAAGCTGCGAAAGCAATCAGTCTAAGAGTATGAGACTATAGGCAGCGTTTGAAACTTTCACGACGACAGGGCTTCGGTCAGCAGCCGTTCCCAGCGCCGATCGATGCGCATCGCTTTCAAACTGCATTGGATCGCGTCGAAAGCGGCAGAATTGAAGCGTTGCCGTCGCGACGTCGAGAACGCTCGCCTAAGTCAATGTGCGAGTTTGATGTCAGGGTTCACATATGTTTACTCTGGACAAATCCTAGAGATCGGGTAGTCCGTGCTCGCATGGGTTTTCCAATTGTTAACTCTGAAGGTTGTCCATGCTAATCTGGTGGGATATCTCAATCTCGACAGCAGTCTGTTGCCCGTCTATCCTGTCGAACACAAGAACAAGATGAAGTTGTCATCAGTCTGGTGTGTCCCACAAGTAACAGTTCGATTCCCGTGTAATATAAATGCGACGACCTATCTCTAGCTCAGGGATAAGGAATGTTATTGTATGTTGGCATAGCCGTCTCAGGCTAGCGAGGTTTGCAATCATCATCTAATGCACTGGACTATATAGGTTTGTAAAAAGGCATGCGCTGGGAAAAGTAAAACAGGATATGCTCGGAATCTCAAAGACAAACTGTATATCCACACCTCTGTGGGTCCTGGTCTCTGCCGTGCGTGGAGAGTATGAATGGGTCCAGTTGCGCTTTCGTTTTTTCGACAAATGCACAGAAAAACGGGGCGACTTATACCGTCACCCGAGGCTATACTCCATACTATTTTTCTCCTGCGAACCCGGCCAGCCAGCGCGCCGAGCCAATAGGCCGAATGCAAATCTGCTTGATCTGCGCTCTCTACACTTCTGACTGTTCTCTAACCGCTGAAGAACGTATTTATCGTTGGCGAGAATCTTCCGCATCGACAAGAAGTGCTCTAACTAGAAAATAGCCGTGGGCGAAAAAAGTGGAGACATGACTCGGACACAGCACTATCGTAGGGCTGTACCCAGATAGCATTTTTGGAGACTGGAGAAATGTGGCACAATACTTCAGTTGCGGACGCACACTATTATTCAAGGATCGTATTCGAAGCGAGTGTACAGGGAGTTACTTGTACACAATGACCAATAGATGACCATGAGCAGGAACTGATATTATACAAGCACGGTGTCTGAGGATGATAGTTGTCGGTGACATGCTGTAGATGATGCAGGCTGGGAGATTTCACCCCCACTTATGTCACTATGTGCACCTTACTGAGTGCAACAGTCCTGCAAGCATTCTGGTAGCATACCAGTTCGGGAAATGACTGTAAGGCTTAGGCATGCTTGTCTTGGACGTTTTCGAGAATAAAACATCGTCGGGAGGATGCTCTGCCCGAGGGCCAATCATACGCGCCACAACGCCCTACCGCGCGCACCGTTGTCGTGGCGCACCGAACAGCAATATGCGGGTGTAGACCCGCACCGGCCGTAAGGGTTCTGGGAGTATAGGTGAACAGGATGGCGCGCGTTGTCCAATCACATAATGTACCCTCCTACGCTTTCATACCCTCCTGAAACCTCAGCCGCCAGTGAAAACAGGAACGAGACTGTGCGATCACTCAAGGCCGCCGCTCTACCCTATGCTCCCTCAAGACCCCAGCGGCCTGCACCGACCGATACCCGTGCACGGCTGTCTAACACTGGAGCACTATTGCAACAGCAACGCGTAGTAGAGCGACATAGCGCGTCGACGCGCCATCGCAAAGTCTGAATGTTACTCAACTGTCCTTACATAATTTCCACGTGATGGGGAATAGGGCTTGACCTAAAAGAATGTATGGTGCCAAATGCTATCGATGCTGTTCTTGTGGTGCTCTCCTTTATATGGCCATGATGTGGCGGACATGACAGGGTGCGCCAGCCGCAGTGGTGTATTATATAAAGTGAGAGGTGGAATAGTAACCTCTGAGACTCTCTCCGAGGCGCTTTTCTTGATTTTAGGCCGTTTGCTTTCCAAAGTGGAGGAAACTCAATGAGTGAAGCGCAGACCATGCTAACAAAAGAACTTTCTGAAAAGAATGGTTTCAAGCAGTAGTGAGCTTTCATGGAATAATAGCTGAGATGAGATGTGTGATCAGAAAACGTCCAGGCGAAACTCAGCCTGCATGAGAAACAGCGACAAACCGGGTGAGTTGATAAGAAGTCGCGTGACTTTCTATAAAAGGAAAATTCTTCATAGCTAGAGAACACAATCTCCAATCGGAAGGAATTGCTGCATTCACTCTTGGCTCTCTCTTTGGCTCTCTCATTTCACTCTTCTGAAAAATCCTTAAAAATTTCGATCATGATAGTTGCCTGAAGCAGGGATCTGCTTTCTATTTCCTCTAAAGATTCCTCAGAAACCTGAAACTTCAAGAAGTGTCGCTGTCGTTCTCTGCAGATCCCATGTCGTTGAATCTGTACACACCTGCTGACGGTCTCTATAGTACCCATGTCACTTGGGAAGACATTGAGGAGGACATGCAACGAGAACTTGACTCAGTTGCCTGGTTGGTCCCAACAAAACGCTAAGGACATGGAGACGGAAATGTGTGAGTATTCATGCTTGCCACTAAAATGCGGGAATAGCCGTTTAGGAGGACAGATTTGAAGTCACTGGATGACTAATTCAAGAAATTTTTTTATATTCATGGGGGATTCGCAAAAAAGAGTATGCAACAATCATTTCGTAAATTGGCTTTAGAAGTGCTCTTGAATTGATGTATTACGCGCCTTCCCTTGAAGCTCTCCAGGCGTTTCCGGAACCGATTAAAACTACGTAATTCACTGTGGCAACAACAGTTAATGTCATATTCCTGTTTAGGACCTGAAGAACTACTTCTCACTTGATTGTTTTATTGCTTGTAAATGTTACGATGACCAGAAACTGACGCAGTTTGTGTAGCGTTTTCTTTACATCACTCATTTTTATCAAAGCAATACAAAAATGCTGAAGGGCCATGTACATTCAAGTAAGGAATTTCGCACAATATCCATGCAAAGGTAGTTTTGCTATCATTCGCGTAAGTGAGAAACTTTCTGCACAACAAGAGGAAGTTAAAGAAGCGATTCCGATGAATGACAACCTCGTGTGGGTGTAATCTAGAAGGCTGGAAATATCAAGAAATGTAGTAAGTAGAAGTGTGGAGGCAAGGGAGTGTTTCTGAGTGCACAGTTCACCACTGCTTCCAGTTTTTGGCCTGGAGTATCGGTGCTCGAATGTGAAGAAGGTTGCTGACCTCCATCTGCCAAAGGCAAAACGGTGTCGAAGGCTTAATTGCATCAAAGTCCACGTGAAGCTGTTCACGAAGTTGCCAGACCTCATTAATTTCTCTCATTCATTTCGCATTGGTCTGAGCATTTCGGCTGGTTCGAAAAACTTCGAGAAACTCGAAAGTCGACAAAGTCAGGCACATCAATGTCACTCCAATCAAATGAGAGCGAGCGAGGCCGTGGGTATGTCCCGACTGTAGATATAATCAGCAACCTGCAGGAATGCACCAAAAGCTCCAACGCTCGCTCTTGGCATCAGTTGAACAGGAGAGGTCCTCTAATTACAAGCGAATGTGCTGCCACATACTGCATGACGGGCTCTTAAAAATTTGAAGGAGCTCTGCTATCTAAGGTGCGTCGTTCACAATGTTCGCGAGACATCTCGCCCCCCCCCCCTGAGAAGCACTTGGGCTTTTTCCAGTGCGGAGAATGTTCATCAACCTTCCTCACGTAAAAACTAACATCGACTATCAGAATACCGCCTTACATGAATTGGTTCATCTGTTGACATGAGAAAAGTCAATAAATTCTAGTGGACCATGTTTCGAATGAAAGATGGTAATCGTTTTGAAAATCTTGATCGAAAATCTGCAATTTTTCCCACGTCTTTGATATTATTGATCTCTCGTCAGTTTTTTGTCCCCTTATCAGTCACTTCTTGCTGTGAGGTATTTGCGCTTTTCAAGGCAGCTTACAACAAACAAAAGGTACGCAGAAAAATGATAGCCGCACCAATTACAAAGATTATTGGTAACAACTGGTATTGATGGGGTCAGACTGAACAGAGGCAGTGCAGCGGCTTGGAGGCAATACAGTGCTTCCTAGTTTCCTAGAAAGACTTGCATCGCTCTGGTCCAGCTTGGGTATTATGCCTGCTTGGGTGATCATGAGCTTGAGGGAAACTTTCTGGTTTGGCCGCAAGGACTACTACTATTTGAGGAGGTTTCAAACTGAAAGTTTTTGGAAATCCGTGCCGTGCCGTATTCCATGAGGTCTGTTAAAAATTGGGGGTCTTATTCTTAATTATATTGTGGACTCTCCATGGAAATCCTGACTTGCACAAGGGAGTTCGTGAACGGCCATCTTGTGAACATAGAAACGACAGAGCATTTAATGTTATCGCATCCTTTTTTGCGTTCCATTTTCTTATGCGTTCGCAGTAGCTTCTGAACGAGATTTGTTCCACATTACAAAAAAGGGGGAGCGGGAACTAGTGTTGTTATCCTCCCACACGGTGTGCTCTGACCCCAAAGGAATTGGTACCCATGCGGCTACGACGGACTCTGACTCGACCCACTGACTGTGCACATATTGAGCAGCTCCACTTGACCTGTATACCACCTCTGTTCATGCAGTATAGACTGTGCGAAGGTAGCGAAGCTCAAATGGCTGTCTGTATAGGTGTGTAAAAAAAGAGATAGCAATCGCGTGAATAAACCGCAAAGTTAATAGTCAGTCGCTTTCGTTGAAAAACGTGATACTAACCAAGGCAAGGCGTTGTAGAAAATCAGATTTGAAGTTCAACGTGGGATTCATGTGAATTCGGTGCATGTTTAATTCAACCCTTGGAAATAGGGAACAAGAGCATTTCATGGTTAGGGCGGTTCAAATGACCCCCGAGTAGGACCATAAGGAATAAGCAGTTTTCACGGGTTGTGCTGAGTCATGTTCTCACGTCTTGGAACGAGAGTAAGATGTGGTTCACCGTACAGAAGAGCTGCATACATTCCGAATGTTCTTTGCAAAAATGCAAAGTAAATACTAAAGCGAACATCATCATGGAAGGAATTGTGTACTTCAGTGATTTGATTCGCACTCAATTCCAGGGATTCATGTCGAAAATGCTGCTCATTGATCCAGACTGGCAGCACAAAGATAAGGAGTTGCCCTCGAGATTTGTGGTGAAGGTTAGTTCAAATGAACGTTTCCTCGAAGGTTTGGTGCACGATAGTGAAACGATGTAACTGTAGGGGAGACGATTGGGGCTTCAGAATTTTTTCCTGCTTAGTTCTGTTGGAAGGACCACTTCAGTACTACTCGGGTGATAACCTACACTGGTGTGCAAAACTTAGGGACGAAAGCAACTTTCGATCACTGTGCCTCTGCCAGACAACACAGCTCGATGAAATTCATATCATATCAAGGGAGAACCTTAACGATATTGTACAGAAAGCAACCGACAGAAACTCATAATAAGACGAATTGTTATGACATTTTTATTCAACCATGTCGATTACACATATGTCTTCACGATTTATCCTGGTACTACAAAAGAAGTTACATGGATCCTTATAGGGTGTGTAACCACCACGGACAGCAATACATGCTCTGCACCGCGATCCCATACTCTCCACGAAGTTGGTAATGAGTTCATGGGGCAGGGCATTCCACTCCTCAATCAGTGCATTTGACAATTGCTGGATCGTCATTGGTGCATTTGGTGGTGCTGCAACGCGTCTACCCAGTGCATCTCACACATGCTCGATGGGATTTAGGTCGGGGGAGGGGGGGGGGAACGGGCGGGCCACTCCATTCGCCGAATATCCTCTCGTTCTAGAAGCTCCTCCACCTGTGCTGTTCGGTGCGGTCGCGCATTGTCATCCATGAAAATGAAGTCAGGGCCCAGTGCAGCTCTGAAAAGACGGACATGATGTAAGAGAACCTCGTCGCAGTAACGCTGACTGGTGAAGGTTCCATGCTCAAAAATCTGGAGGGCAGTACGGCCATGCAACATGATGCCTCCCCATACCATAACACCTCGACCACCAATACGATCACGTTTGACAATGTTTCCGGGGGAGTTGCGTGTTCCCACCTCTCGCCCTGTGAGGGTGCGTCCAGAATCACTGCTCAGACTGAACTTGCTCTCATCGGAAAAGAGCACACGGCTCCATCCCTTACCCATCCGCCATGCTCCTGGCACCACCGTTAACGGTCTCGCCGATGCGCGGGGCTCAACAGAACACAACATAACGGTCATCGGGCAAAGAGACCATTACCATGCAGTCGTCTTGCCACTGTAGTGCGTGAGATGGCTTGGCCTAGATTCCTGTTAAACGTCGTTGCAATAGCCGACGCCGACTGACGAGGATCTCTTCTTGCCTGCTTCACAATGTAGCGGTCGTCCCGTGGTGTAGTTGTCCTCGGCCACCTCCTCGTCTTCGGGCAGCAGTACCAAGGGTTCAGAACGCTCTCCATGCACGTGAAACAACGCTGTGAGCGATACCGAACTCCTGAGCTACACTCGTCATGGTTCGACTTTCTTCGAATTTCCCTATGATCCTTCGTGAAGTCATGCAGATGCTCTCTTCGGGACATGACGTATCGAAGGATACTACCACAGCTCTTTGCAGCTTCTCGTTGAATGAGAAAATTTTTTTTCATGCCCATAGACTGCCTCGATTTGCGCGGTCGGCCATATTTGTCACTTTATTCGAGCCCTTCTTCCACCGAGAAAAGTCTAGCTTCCTGTGCTATCCCTTGGGCGAGTGGCAACATGCTCCCACACTTTCATTTACTTCCACCCAGTCATTTGTGTTTTATGTTACTTTATCCATCTCGTCTCTATGTTTTGCACACCAGTGTATTATAACCGTCAACTATTGGTGATCGATTACGCACAGAACGTTGTAATCCACCACCGGTAGTCGACAGAGGTGATTTTCGTTTTCAAACTACGGGTTCACCTTGAGATGGTGGGAACTATCGGCGGCACCAGCTCTGGGGAATATCCGTTCTATTCGGAAGTCGAACAAACCCTGATGATTTTCGAAACATCTTGATCCTATCTGAAAGCCGGAATGCGTGCAAACGTACACCTGCCTTCTGTGGTCAGTGCATCTTCATGAGTAGTTGATGCGAGACCCTAATGATCACACCCCAACGAACATTACTCTAGTCGAATCTTGTAGAATGCACTCCTTTGAAACATCGCACTAGCTTGGCCAGTAGGTTGCACTGGCGAGTTAGGGAAAGCAAGGAATATGAATGAGCACGTGCAAATAGTTTGCCTAGCTGATAACAGCTGTTTTTGTCAAAAAAAGCTTCAAATTCAGATTCTCACTCAACTTGTGATGCAGAAAATAGGCGCTGAGATGAACGAAACACATGATATTGATTTCGTATTCAGTGATCCAAAGTTCATGGAACAGTTCGAAGCGAAGGCAAAGAGAGTGAGTTTAACAAAATTATAGCATTGTGTAAAAATCTTCCGATGAATACTATGTACTAGGTACTGTAATCGCTCACAGTTCTCAGATCAGACTCGAAATTAGGGTTCTAGCGTAGGGACTAGGATCATGACTGGGAGGGGGACCGCACCATCTTCTTGTCATTTCACTTCTTTGACGCTCCCAAGCAGAGCCATACTCTAGAGCTGAAACACCCTGCCTGGGCCGGCAATAGACCGCGCTAAGCCCCCCGCCCCCCCCCCTTCCCCAGTCAAGGCCACTCCTTCGGACCTGTGCCGGCCAAAGGTGACCTTTAGACAAAGGCTGCTATGGCGACAGGACGGCGCGTGAAGTACACTAATGTACCATCGGACTGAGCGCTGCGGTGTGATAGGGCACGCCGTAGCCTTCTTCTTCTCCCTAGCGTTAGTCCCGCGCCGTCGCAGGGTCCGCTGTTCTTATTACACGTCGCCACTTGTTCCGATCCACTGCATCTTCTGCTGTGGCTTTCACTTCAGTGAGGTCCCTCTTGATGGCGTCCCATCTTTTCTTTGGGGCTCCTCGTGGTCGCTTGCCCTCTACCTCGAATTCCATTGCCTTCCTTATTGGGTGTCCTTCGGCCTCCTCAGTACATGACCGTACCATCGCAGTCGCTGCTCTCGTGCCTTCAGCTGATTGGAGCCGTCCGTGTGACTGCTCTGACGTCCTCGTTTCTGACTCTGTCGACCGTGTCCAGCCGCAGCCCCATCTCAGCATCCTCATTTCAGCTGAGTGGAGCTGCCTTCATGGTTCTTGCAGATAAGCTAGCACTCACTGCCGTAGAGCATTGTAGGCCTTACCACAGCCCGGTACACCTTGCCCTTGAGCGTTCTTGAGCGCCGCCGGCGCACAGGATGCCAGTGGACTCCATACTGACCACAGAACTCGGGGGAGGGTTCTGCGCGCCACTTCCGGGTGACGTCCCTAGCTTTTACACTGATTCTATTACGACTTGTCATAGTTGTTGTGAGGGTTCCTCCATCAGCCGGCCTGTCAACCTGGGCCTGACGCTGGTATCGTCCCCATTTCTGCAATTTTTGCAGGGCAGGTTTGTGCCTCGGCAGGGATCGAACTCTGTGCTCAGAGTGAGATTATAAGTCTACACTCTTAACCACTCGGCTATCCCTGCCTCGCCGTAGCCCTTCTGACAGGAACGCCGGTATACCTTCACCTAGCATTTCCCATCAGAGCTTGCTCTCCTTGGGCCCGAAGGAGCAGTCGGCAGTGTGTCATCAAAGGGCTGCTGGCAGCTCATGGATAGAAGAAGGATATCCACGACTTCTGCAAATGCTTGATCAGTCCACGCTTTGACAGGAACGAGGAAGACCATAACCTGTCCAAGAAGTTTGCTAATGAATTCAGTTTATTAGCCCCTGTTCAGTTCTCATTGCATTTTATTTTTGTGCTAGCCTCCTACTGCCTATGGATGTTTGGTTCTCTTTGAGCATACCTCTGAGAGAATTGGATAAACAAATGAATATTCATTTACCCACTATATATAATTCGCTTCGTCCGTCTGTTTGCTTGTTTATTTGTTTGTTTGTTTGTCTTCGGTTCGACATGAAGTTCAACTTGGAGGGGTCGGGTCAAGGTGGCGATGGATATGGCATTGAGCAAGGTGTAAAGAGCACACATGACCTATACGATGCTCCGCCCAGAGTAGGCGGGGCGTGCGCCGAAAGTTAGCGACGCCGCAGAGAAAAACTCATGCCTCTCTTCCAGAGCAGCCCAGAGTTGGGGAAAAAGTGGAATAATGTTAGCAAGGGGCTGTTAGAGTAATTAGTGGGGACAGAGCCGAAATGGGCGGGGCATACTCTGGATAGACACTGCTTCCCAAAAAAGTCATTGGTTCGGTTCCCGAGAGAGTTTAGAATTAGCAAAAAAGCCGATGTAGGGGTGCCACATCTGGGAAGAGTTTAGCACGCCTGATGTGTGTTGAGACCCGCCCACAGTGAGCGGAGCTCGCTCGCAGTCATAGGGTGCCCATTTCAAAATTTTTTAGGATGGTTCCAGAGCATTCCAAACACCGGAAAAAAGTAGATCAAGGTCAGCAAAGGGTTGCTGGTCAGGAAAGTGGGCACACATGTTGTGAGCGAGGACTGCTCTAAAGTGGGCCGGGTAAGACAAACTATGTAAAACGGACCCAGAGCATTCCAGGTACTGCTAAATCAGTAGCGGTTAGGAGCGATCACAGATCAAAACGGGACACATCCGTTGAAGGCGGAGCGTGCAGCGAGGTGAGCGGAAAGAGTTTGTAGAGAGGTTCCAGAACGGATTCAGTCTCAAAACACCACAGACAAATTTAACTCTCCCTACATGTTTCTCTTATTCGACGGCACCCGCCTCGCCGCACGCTCCGCCCACAATGGATATGTCTTGCACTCTCGAACCGGTGACTCCTTGCTTACCAGGAAGGTGGTTGAGGGTGTGCCCCGCTTTTTCGAAACGGTTTATTGCACTTTGTAGGGCCTTGTCCATGAACCATAAAAGTGGGCTTCGTTTCGGCTGAGCGGCCCCAGGAACGCCAAAAAAGGAGCGAAAGTTATGTCTATGTATCCCCATATGAGGGACGTTGAGCGCTATACTGGCGCCAAATTGCGTCGACGTCGAAAATAAGTGTCAAAATCGTAATGAGGGCCATCGATTACCCTTATGGATGAACTTCCAGCCAAAAAATTTTTTTGACTGTTTGGGTTTTGGTGGACCATTTGGTCGGCAGTGGTGACCGGAGTATCCCATCTTCGTAAAGACGATGATGGAACGACGACGTAGCAGGCGGCAGGGCAGGACAGCAAACCTGGTGGAATGCCTCCCTTTCCTTCCTCTTTGCATGAATTTCATCATCATTGTTACTTTTATCATTGGATATTGATAAAATAAGGGGTCCCTATGGCGAGGCTCTGTTAGAAAGACTGTCGAGCACAACCCAAAAAAGTCGAAAAAAAATTTTTCCGAAAGATCGTTTACAGGGGTCGATGGCCCTGGTCATAATTTTCACACTTATTTTCGGCGCCGACGTAATTTGGCGCCTGGGTAGCGCTACACATCCCTTACTTGTGTGTAGCACATGCATTCATCGGGAGAAACATGCCACTCGATATTAGCGATAAATGGCACCGTAGCTACAAATAAGTTCCATTTTGTGATTCGGGTATGGTATGATCTATAAAGGTCAACTTTCAATTACTTTCTTGCTTAATCGTATGTAAAACCTGTGATAACATAGCACTGATTCATGGAGTGTTCCCACTTGAAGTGTGCCCATAAATGGCAGTTATCGAACGCATACTCACGCACAGACATATTTGAAGGAGAAAGAGCAAAACATAAAAATTGCAAAAATCGCACGCCGAGGGAAGTCGAACCTCAACCCCACCCCAACTGTCCGCTTGAAAATCCTCCACGCTATCCACTGGGGCATCCGATCGTTGGTGCTGAACGTTCCTCCGATCGTTGAAGAAACAATTCCATGATGCCATGATGCCGTTCACGCCTGATTACGTGCCACAGGTAAGACCCCATACCCCGACTACTTTTCTCTTTGATTCCGATAGTACCTTTATAGGGTCCCTCCATTCAGGAACTGGTCGAAGTTTCGAGCGGTTTACAGCTCGTAGAGGCTCAAAGCAATCAGTTCCATAGGTTTCTTTTTCGCTCTTTTTTTTGGCATTCCAGTGGCCGCTCAGCCAAAACGAAGCCCACTTTTATGGTTCATGGAAGGCCCTACAAAGTACAATAAACCGTTTCGAAAAAGCAAGGCACACCCCGAACGACCTCCCTTGTTAGTGCAGACACTGGGGAAAAAGTGAATTGGGTAAACGAGGAGTCACCATTTCGGGAGTGCAGGACACATCCATTATGGGCGCAGCATGCGGCGAGGCGGGTGCCGTCGAAGAAGAGAAACATATAGTTAGAGCTGAGTTTGTGTGTGATGTTTTGAAACTCACCCACAGCGGGGGTGTGTTCTCAAGCACGATGTGCCTAATTTCACTGTGTTTTGTTGCACACATAGGCCGCCATACTCTCGAACACCTGTCATCACAAGTCCGGTTGATACCAGTCGCTTCGCTGGCTGACGCCGGCGCGATTTCTTATCTGATACAGCCAGGCTCTCCGGTTTTGTTGGCTTCATCGCGCCTACCTGCTTCCGTATTTTTGAATGCTCAGCCATTATACGGCTTTTCTCACATCCGTGCGCTGGGTCAACGCCATAGCACAGGGGTTAGATGTTGAAAGAAACAGGTACGATGTTATTGCTCGAGGAGCGTGAAATGTCTACAGATAAAAAAAAGGCCGGATAATTGTTGAGTATCTAAACATTTGAAGGAAGGTACGCCTGCGAAGCTGTGCCCGCCCGACACAGCTCCTTCACAACAACTGTAAGGTGTACGGAAACACAGTCACAATCTTTGTGCCCAAGGTTCCAACATTACTTAACTTGGAGAGTCTTCTGGATTTCAAGATTTCCGCTAGAGTATCCCAGATGGACAATGGCTTACCTAATAGGAAAGAAAATTCCTTAGTGAAGCGTTGATTCCTGAGAATCCTGAGGGCAGTATCCTGGCAGGGCCAGTAAAATAACTGTTATATTTTGTTTGACAGTACGCAAGAACTGCTCAGTGTATATGGCAAAATATATAAAACTAAGAGAGCAACAAAAGAAAAATAAAATATGACATAAAACATAAATACATAAAACATATATACATAAAACAGAATATGAAATACAGGGGTGGCAAAAAAAGTCACTTTGACCAAGTCACGTACAGCAAAGTTTTTGCAGCCCAGACAGAGGACGTGGATACGACTACGGAGGAGACCCAAGATGTTCCTCTATAAACAGGAGCTGGCTCACGCCCACCACCTTCATGTACCTCAAAATATGAAGTCATCTCCAGTCGCAGCCTGACTGGAGGAGACCTTCGGACTCATGTCACCTCCAAACTCCGGCGAAACTTCTAGTGTGGAGTCACCCATGGATAGCTACCTGGAGATTAGTACTCTCAATCTGGATGACCCCCAACATTGAGCAGCTTCGTCAACTTCGCTACGGTCTAGGACATCATCTTCACCTCAGTCGCCAAGGCGCCAGTTGATGGTATGGACCGGGATACTTGGAATGGGAAGACCGATATTTTCTTTGTAGACCCCGACCCTGAAGGTGAGCGATGGCGTTCACATCAAGTAACTCGAGAAGAATATCCTCCTCACATGTGTTCGCCCGTACCTTTTTGGAGACCTTGTGCTGCTACAGGTTTTTGTGCCACCACATGGAATCGAAGGGTTTTGGAAAAATTCCCGCCTTCTTCGAATGGAAGGGCGTTTCGTACCTAAAGAAGATGTAATATTGAAGTATGTCCCCTGTCCTGAATCCACTCAATTACCTAGTTCGGGCGGAGTTCAATAGGGTGGTCTACGGTGGCGGAGAAATCGACTACCCTGCTGATCTCAGGTGTCAAATCGCGGTCGCGTGACAGAATCTCCCGATGGCGCTCGTCCAGAAAGCTGTCGCGGAGTGTCATGACAGTACTTAATATGCTCTTTAATACGGTGCTAAGAATGTCCGATTAGAATTGAATAAAGTGTATCTTATAGCGCCTCGAAAGTCAATGAGGGGAAGTGACTTTTTTTGCCCCCCCCCCGTATTGGGAACCACGGTGAGGGAGTAACCAAGAAATTTCATGTACAGCGAGAACAATGTAGTGCTGTGAACTGCGTTTTTCACAAGCAATTATCCATTTTGTTTGCAGACCAAGTTTATAAGTGTTTCAGTGTCATAATGCCGAAGTCAGAGCCTACAAGCATTTGATGAAAGTCTCTGCGGAGAGCATTCATATCCCGAAGGTTTGTAAAATTTTCACGAATAGTTTGTCATGCCACTTCTACTTTGTTTAAACATCCGCACTGATGTCATTTTAATTTTGTGTTTACCGAGTTAACAAGTGAAATGACTGTTGGGTTGGACCAACCACCCCTACGCTCGGATAAGAACGCTCAGGCTGAACGTTCTTATCCGAGCGTAGGGGTGGTTTAAAGTTTGGTTCTACACTGACTTCACTTCAACTCTCACGGGTTCTACACTGATGCCTTTTCTCACGGATTTGACACTAATGCCTTATCTTTTCTACGAGGGCGTTATTTTCCTCAAAGCAACCATATCGTAGACATCCTTCCCTGTTCGAGTAGTCTGATCTGCAATCTCTGATATTGTGCCAAATTGCGGCTCCACAGTGGAAAACGAATGTTTCGCCTCCCTTATGAATCGCCCTTCTAATCCTTACGTAGTTCCACCGCCCAACAAAACGTCCTCTTTACGCGTGACGGCAAGCGTTCAATAGTTCTTAGAAGAAGCGGCAGGCATAAATCCGGTGCAGTGGTGTCGAACAGTGCATCTGGCGGCGCGGTTCTTCTATCCCTATTTGAAATGAGGGACTTGGACCATTCCATCTCCATCAATCCGTTTCCACACCGTGTCTTCCTTTTTTCACTATTAAATGGTATTAAGCACTGGATGAGCATAATGGAAACGATCAGTAAGCCAGAGCTGTAATGTAAGGGTATAAATTTGTTTGCGTGAAACGAGCAGGTACGTGGAACTCGTACAGTGATTTATCTTGTTCTCGATGGGTTTTTTTGCTTTTTTTTTCTTGGAAAATCACTGGCGACTATAGGTCTCAAACGCAACTTTTCGCAATATGCAATCAGTGGGTTTCTTCGTAAAACGTGTCATTTCTGTAAAACGGGAGACACTACACGGAAGATGTGATTCGCTATCGAATAACATCAATTTCGTTTAAGCGATTGCGTAGCACCGAGCGGTTGTATGGTTACAGACGTGAAAGTAGTCCCCTATCAGCTTGGATTCATTCAGCTCCAGGATGAATAAGATACGCATTCGGTATGCGCAATGGACACAACATGCTTATAGACATCGATGCTAGACCAAGACTCTCTGATACGGAGAACTTTTCACAACTGTCTCGGAATGGATTTTCCCCCAGAAAATAGCTAATCGTATGAAATATGGGATTGTGCATCACACGGATTCGGTTATATGCTAACTACAACATTATCTCTTATGTCGCTTCGTTCGAAGACCTGCAACATCAATGGAATCTGATGCATATCATCTTGCAGGGCCTCATCGGTCAGTAGCTATTCACTTTGAGCGGGCCCTTCAACCTACCATATCTCTGTAGTGAAGGTGCTAGTGTAGTGCTTATTTTCCACCTGAAAGGCGAAAGCGATTTGCATCCTCTTCTCCATAATGCTAGCTGAAGGTGCTAGTGTTGTGCTTATTTTCCACCTGAAAGGCGAAAGCGATTTGCATCCTTTCGCCGCGGTTTTCCTTTGAGCTCCCTGCACAAAGTCAGCGCTACAGAAGATGGGGCACTTGGTGGAGTGGAGTAGAATATAGTTTCTGAGTTATGCTAGACTCTGAACGAGAGTGTTTAAGGTGTAGAAGTGAAGTTCAGAAATATCCACGAACGGTGTAAGGACACGTCTAAATGTAATCTCGGATGATAGGCATGAAATGTGCATATGTCGTGTTGCGAATTTGGACTATACTCACCGAGTTCTTGGCTCATACTTTCTACCCATTCAAGATCCACCAGATCCGGGAGAATGGCTTTGAGATGCTCCCCGCTCCTAGCAAACTTCCCGCCTTCGCACTAGCACAAGGTGCGGCCAACCATGTCAGGGTTAGAAGAAAAGGTTTATCCGCAATGATTGTTCCGATGCTAGTGAGCTAGATAGTGAGCATAATACATCACTGCTTGATATTGTTGAGTCCGGTAGTAAGGGTAATAAATTAGATTAACTACAAGATTTTGGTACACCTTACTACCTATCCTCTAACTCTTTGAATTTACTTCTAGCTCTTCAGATTTACTACATGAAGATGTTCACAGAGTGGAATCCTGTAAAAGGATACATAATCATGGAATACATCGACAACCTGAAGACAGTGCATATCTTTGAAACCGTTACACCAGAGGAAGTGAAGCAGGTATGTAGGTGACACTGCATCACTTAAGCCATGAATTCGAGAGAATTTCTTTCCGAAGAGTTAAGATACTACGACACAAAGCCGCAATGGAGGCGAGTTCACTCGACACGCTCGCAGAAGAGAGAGATGAGTACACGCAACCTTTCAAAACCCTCTTTGCAGTGTTATTCGAGGAAAAGGTAAATCCTTTGAATAGTTGTTTATGATGATTGCCAGAGGTTATGTCTCATGATACTTCGATGGGGGTTTCGAAAAATCAGTGTTACTGCTCCACTTTCTAGAACTATTCAGATGCTGGATCAAATGCTGACGGCGTTTTCTAAATTCGAAGGAGGAAAGTTTGCTGAGAGCGGGGAGCATCTCAAAGCAATTATCCCGGATTTGATGGATCTTGATTGGGTGGAAAATATGTGCCAAGAACTCGGTAAGTATACACTGCATATACACATATGCTCATTACGCTTGTGCGCAGTGCTAAAATACTAAAAAAAACTCAGCAGAGGGAAAAATTGAAACAGCCTAATAGGGGTGTCTTCGATCACGTTGCTGTACTTGCTTGCTCGCTCAAAGGCTGACGCTAATAAGGGTCATTTGTAGCTATACCTCGGCATTGTGTCGAATAATCTGCTTCGCCCCTCTCCCCGCGGTTGTAAATTTAGCTTTATTGCCATATGTTTCGGCGGTACCGCCTTCTTCAAAGCCTGGAAGAGAAGGAGCGAATCATAACTACCCCGTCAAATGTCTCCACGAAACCCTTTGAACTGGAGATCAATGCAGTTCATCACACACCGTAAGAAGGGCCATCTACAGCAGCCAAGCCGATGAAAGGGAACTGCTTCGCGCAGTTCCTCATCCAGTGCCTTTACTGCAAAGCTGCACTCTTCGGAGGTTTTATCTCTACGGTTCCCTTTCAGATTGCTAACATAGATCCAAAAAGCCTCAAGGGTTTGCCGTGCAAATGTGTGCGTTCTCATTCGTGCCAGTAAGAATAGCGTACAAAAATGTAATATAAAGTATAATAATGAGATCCGGATCTGTCAGTCATCACAGCACCGAGGACTACTTTGGAGCGAATATTCGTGGTGCACTGCCATATGAGAGTCTTTCTTAACATATGCTGCTCTAGTCCGGGTGCGTTCTTCATCGTCTTCCAACTCCTTTTTCACTTCGCTTTTCTCCGTATCTTGAGCGTCACAACTCTGGACATGCATTCAGTGTCAATAAGGATGGTAGTCGACGTGCCAGATTGCGATTTTTTTTTGATATTTTTTTTTCAACGGCAATGCTACCATTTCTATCACAAGGGTGGTAAGCTATGGGCAAAATCGTAGCACAGAGAGAGAGTGGGAACCGCTCTTCTGCTAAGCGCACAAACTACCAATACGCCATCGAGCCGTTCTTATTCTCTCAGCTCATTAACTTTTGTGCCCTAGCCTGTGAGACTTTGGCCTGTAACTCATCACACTTGTGCTAGCTTTCGGGATGCGGACTGCTGCGTTGAGTAACGGTTATACTACTGAAATAATTAAGCAATTTTGTTTAATTTTGTTAGAATACCCTTTGACTGGTTTCGCTCCACGGCGTGTCAAAACGTGTCCGCTCGATGAGACAAAATTGCTTCCTTTTGTCAAGTCGATCCCACCCCGCTAGCTCATGAAGTAGGTAACAGCACCAGTGATATTTTCGAACGCTATGACTTCCATCTAGATTGCAGAATTGAACTCAGAACTGCGTAGTCTTAAGTGTCATAATCAGTTGGAGCATTGTCAAAGGGCATGGAATGATCCCATCCGCAGAGTGTTCACAAATGGTTGCTTTCTTTCTTGGAGACTGGAACACTCAAAAATGATGAGTTATGCGGCTCAGATATTTGTAACAAGGTAGCAAATATTTCGTGGTGAAGAAAGGAGCAGAAATTTATGAGAAATGCCTATTGTAGAAACCCATGCCGCATTGAGGTTGTACGTGCATAAGCCGAAGAGAAGCCGTGATCGCACGAGTTCTCACTTGTTCATCAACTGTTTTATCACCTCACTTTCACAAAAAATTTCATGTGGAGAAGTTTAGCAGCGGAACAACCGCACTATCAGCCAACCATTGGAAATAAACGTTGGGCGTTACGGTCGCCAGGTGGGCGGCGCGGCAGCCTCTTCACGAGTGAATGGCGCTGCCCTCGTATTTTTGAGCTGTGAACTGGGCACATCGGCCATCCTTGTAGGAAGGGCAACGATATTCGAAGAGGGCGAATGAATGCGGGCTCTGCCGTTAGTCGATAACTAACCGTTCACTATTGCTGAGATAAGGCACCATTAGGAGAGCTCGTTCCGTCCCTCGTGACACCACTTCGAATGAGTGCGACCAATGCCGTACGCCTTAAATACGTACATGGCATCTTAAGACATTCTGGACATGTACAACAAGTAACTTGTACATTACAACTTCCTCTCGATAGACTTTACATCATTGCGCTCGTTCGCCGTAAGAATACTGAGCGAGAAGCAAAGGTATCTCTCGAAGCGCGGCACGGACCCCCGTAACACTTTCTATGAGTGTGCGATATATGTCACGCAACCAGAGTCATTTTTATCTTCCCAGCTTGACGGATTTTATGTCGTAGCCTTACAGCGCTCACTCATTTCACATGGAGAGATGGTCAGTGATGTCTTTATGTATCGGCAGTGAGCCGCGAGCCACAAACTCATTTCACGGCCTTTGGAAGTCATTGTATCACCCACACTTGTAAATATTCTCCATCCCCTATCATTGAATATCGCGGTCGCCATCTGCTTCTATGATTGCACAGGAATCGGAAAAGACATTCCGTACAGCATTGAATTGTGTGATCTTTATCTTACAAACAATGCGCACAAAATGCTGTCTGCTTGCATTCCCATCCCTTTGTGAAAATAGCGTCACTTTCAGGAATGGAAAGTGTTTTATGCCACGGCGATTTGTGGTCCATGAACGTTTTATGGAGACCGAGTGGGAATGGTCTATACATGGCCGCTGTTGTGGACTACCAAGTAGCATTTATGATCATTTCAAAGCAAGTGTTAATTGAGTTTCAATGCACTCTTGCTAACAGAAGCATATTCAGACAGCCCATTTCGGTTGTGCAGCAACCGATCTTGTGCGGGTACTGTGTGCATGTCTCAGCGGCAAGGATCGGCAGGAACATTGGGAACAGCTCCTGGAAGAGTTCTACGGCTATCTCAAAGAAGAAGTTAGCAACAGAAAAATGCCCTACACCCTTGATCAGGTGAATAAGTTTTGCATATTCAGCATTCAAAGACATTTTCGGAACTTGCTAAATAAGACTTTCGCACACTTCAGCTCAAAGAAGCTTATCGCCAATACTTCCCCATTGGTGCCTTCATGATAGTGCCCATGATAGGACCATTTTTTCGAGATGATCTGCAAGTCTGCTGACGAGGAGATTAAGATGAAGGTAAAGTGAATTTTGTGATAGTCCAAAGGCGGGCATACAAGAAATGACTGCTGGAATACTTTTAGGGTATGCAAGTTGTCATGGAAAAAACCGAGTGCGTGCTTGAGGACATTTTCTATTTTCACGAAAGAAACATGAAGCTCCGAAAAGGACAAAAAGTTGCCAAGAAGTGTTAGAATAAACCGTTCATGTTATGTCAAGGCTACAATCGCTCCCCCACGTGGCTGCCAGGCGCGGATTTTGAGTTTTGTGCCCAAGCAGTGGTCATCTGACGACATGTTCTCTCTGTATTGTGCAATAGATCCGAGTGTAACACAATGCAAGAGAAAGACGAATAAACAACAATACATACAAAATTGCAACAGTGTAATCATATTATACAGGTGTGTGTGTGTGACAAGAAATTGACAATTTCCTCTGATTTGGCAATAGAAATTGCAAAGTGATGAATAATACAGGTGATAAGGCGGAAACATTAACGATAGGTATGTGGAAGTGATAACGACTGATAGAGCTGATAAGGGGCCTAAGAAAGGGAGAGTCTCCAAGTCCACGTGGAACGTTGTTTCTAATGGTAAGAAACGATATAACGACATGATCGGAACATTATTGGTGGGTGGGGTGGTGAGGAAGTGATAATAGCCGATAAAAGCTAACAAAGAGCGCTCGAAAGGGTTCAGAAAGGGTCACCATCAACGTAAGACGCATCTCACTAGCAGTGGGACACTCAAGATCTGAGAAGAACAAGAAGACCTTGAACAAGGAAGTTGAGGATATCGCAGCACTTGAGAATCTTCAGCAGAAATGTCATTGTAATCTTTTGGGAACTCGATCTGCCTTGTCGGATACCATTACAGCTGCAGAAATTGTGCTTTTAGCTTAGATTTTAGCGATTGGTAAATTAGCTTAATTTTTTTAGGAGGAAGGAATCGCTATACAACTCCGCAGTATGTTTCTCCACCCTGCACTCGTAATTACAAAGTCTTGTCGGACTTTGAAGGCAGGAGTCGGTAATTTATGCATTCTAGAGTATCGCTACCTCCCAATAGCTTGTCAAAGGTGAGGTTTTTTCTCGTAAGAAAGGAGTACAGATAAGAGGGCAGATTTCTTCGCGAGAATAAAGCTCTTCTTGTAGTAACAAGAAGTGAATGTGTTCAATGCTAAAGAAAAGTAAAAGTGAATCGTACATTTCATAGTTATCCCACGGAGTTCCAGTTCTCCAAGGTTTCAACTTGCCTGTTAGGAAAAATCGTTACTGACAGGTCGCACGCTTCAGTTCTCGATAAACACTGAATTCTCTATGTTGAATATTGAAAGAGAGATGCAGATCAAGGTGAAGAATTATACTTTATCCTTTTGGATCTTATTTGAGTGTTAGGAAGATTAGTGCCAGATGTTGGTCGATGTACAGTTTTTTTGCCCATTCGGAGATTTTTCGAGGGCAATTGAACTGCTTACCGTCCCCGACATGGTATGTTCCTGTTTCTCACGTGAGTCCCCAATCTTTCATCTGGGGAAACCATAGTATGAGTATGACGAAATGCTGAGTTGTGGGCAGAAGTCAGACATCATGTGGACCCGGACCTCACCCTGACCGGAAGAGTGTTCCATCCATCACACCACTAGAGCCGATCTCATTCTCTCAGTTTAATAGTTTCTGTGCCATAGCCTTGCATCACGATATGTCTTCAGAATGTGTCCAGACAAATCATAGTCTGAATCTTAAGCTGCGATGACATCGGGAAGAGGTGATAAGCGACCTCGTAACTATCTATGAGAGGAGCGTTGTGTCCAATATGGTGGTTGTTCAGACAGGTCGCTAATCGAAGTCAAACACTTCGCTGCCTCCCCGAATTTTATAGACTTCTTTCTTTTCTTGTATTGTGAGTAAAATTTATCCAAAGATTGTGGAGTACACCTTCTGCTGATTTCTCATCCATCCAAGTGTTTTTGTAGAAGTGCACCCTCAAGTAGTAAAAATATAATCCGTTGCAGATCTCATGTCGCTGAATCTGTACACACCCGCTAATGGTCTTTACCGTACTCATGTCACTTGGGAAGACATTGAGGAGGACATGCAACGAGAACTTGACACAGTTGCCTCTTTTGGTCCCAACAAGACCGCTAAAGACATCGGAGACCTAAATGTGAGCTATAATATGTGCATCTCTGCAAGTCACGTAGTGCTGCTAGTCAAGAAAGATTGTTTTCTATTCATTTATTCACTGAAAGCCTACTTTTGAAATGTTTCGTGGGACTCCGCTACAAGCGGTAATACAGTGACCATGGAAAGTCATTCAGTTCTGAAGCAATTGAGTACCTTAATGGCACAACTTTCCCCACGAAAGTTTTCGAAAAATTGCTTCCATAGGAACTGCAGGTTCAGTCACAGAACGTCCTTCTTTGACACTGACTACCAGAACCCTCAACTGCCTCCGAAAACTACCAGAACCCTCAACTGCCTCCGTGTCCTTGGAGGACCAGCGGGCGCTTCAGGCCGGAAGTCGGTCCCTTCTTGCTTTGCTCACTATCTTTTCTGTTACGCTCCTACATCCTCGTCATAGTAAGTAGGGAAGCAACAACAAGGAGTGAACTGTGACAGCTCTGACACCGCTCATCTGATTAGGCGTGAGCTGTTCCTTAATTCCCTTCGAACGACTGAAATAGCTATCTAGCACCCACACGTGTAATGTAATGAGCGGGCAAGCCGCTATGGCAGTGATCTGTGAGGATGGAATCTTTCTTTGTTTGTTTTTTTGCTTTCATAATACCTGCTATTTTTACCGCAATTTTTCGCTATCGATCTCCAGCGCTCACCGTTCAGGTGGTGCTAATTTTTTCGTTTAAGCCAGAGCCCACGGTTATTCGCCATTACATATAGTGGATTAGGGGTCTGCATTTAGATGACAAGGTGCTGAGTAACTAGAAGGGAAGAAAAAAAAGCAGAAAAAAAGCATGACAACTGCTCCAGATAAACCCGTTTCCGATCCCAGTTTTTACGTGCTCCATCTATAACATACGCTGCTAGCCGCACAGCTGATTCCTCAATAATAATTCTAAGACAGTGCGAGTGACGATTTTCATGCTTTTTTCGTCTTGCAGCTTCGTTTTCCACTGAGAGGCGGGAATTGAAGGGTGAGTCTGTACGCGGAGTCACTAGAATAACATGTAAAGAAATAGGTAACTCGTGGAATATTTTAGTCTGAGGCAAAATTCATTTTGTTCAGCGTTGGACCATAACATAGACACAAGTGTGTCAAAATGAAATTATCTTACCAAAAGCACAGCCACCGCCACGCTTAGATGAAGCTTCGCCAGCCGAAGTGTCACTCAACCTCCCTCGGCACCACTAACATTCCCAAAAAGTAAGTGGTTAAGTCAATGAATAAGCATAAATGAATATAGTAAATAAATAAACAAATAAATAAATTTACAGACTAATATACTCCTTATGAAGTAAGTGCGGCATCTGAATATGTCAGGAAATGGGTAACTCCTGGAATATTTCAGTCTGAATTAACTGTTATCTTATTCACTGTTAGACCGAAACATATAAAAATGCGTCAAAATGAAATTATCTCACCAAAAGCACAGCCGCCGTGCATTCAGTGGAAGTAAGCAGCCGCGCCTACTACATCGGATTACGAGTGTAACCCTAATTGAATAATGAATAAATTGGGATATAAAACAGCTCTTAAAATTACTAGCAAATAAGTATGAATTATAACACGATATGAGACTGAGGAAAAGGAATAGAAATGCATTGGTCGTTGCGCGACAAACCCCGCCCTTTACGTCACGATCGTTCACCCAACATTGTGCAATAGATCAGTGGTCGTGCGCGTGCAATACTTGATAACGTGGATAAAACCACTGTCCTATGTGACCGTTCAGCCATTCATATTCTTCGCTCTTTGAAACATCTTTATCGTTTGACGATTGTCATTGGTTATTTGTGCTTCTTTAATTATTGTTCACTATTCAGTATTGAAATACTATCTTGGTTTTGGATGATATCATGTGGGATGGGTTCGATGCGCGGCGAAACCGGTTCCCCACTCAAAGGCAACAAAACCATATCAATTTCAGTAGCTTTCCACAGTTGGTGCCGCTTAAGCTCTCGACCATTGGTGAAGAAGGATTTGCACGGGCGCCAAAAGCCTCACTGACGTCCTTTTANCGAACAAAGCTGCCACCGATTATTGGCATTCAGCTCGGTTGTTTTATCTGTACGCAGGGGTCGTCGCAATCAAATGAATAGTTTATTGTTGTTATCAGTTCTACGACCTCCTATACCTGGCTTTGAGCATTGAAGTCCATATTGGGGAGACAGACGCGGTTATGTGCTTTTTTAAAGAGGCGTATGACCCGTTTTTCCTGAGATGTTATAGACAACTGTCATCCTACTTTATGGACAAGAGTCTCACAAGCGCGTATAATACACAACGAATTGCGCCAAGTCCGAGTTGAGTGGCATAGACAACGCCTCCCCATCTCCGTTTCATTGATATTGCAATCATTGAAAGGAATTCTCGGCCTGTCATGGAAAGTACTCTGTGAGTGAAAATAAATATTTCGCCACTCAGGCAGTCTGCTACGTACTGCGTGCGCTTGGTTCAGTTTCACAGATTCGAAAACTTTTAATTCGCACGTAGTATTCCCTCCGCCACTGCGGCGTTAGAAGTAGAGATCAGGAAACAAATTTGAGAAAACCCAGCTATCGTGGCTTTTCAGCTAGTTTCAAATATCTTTTTAAACGCATGACTTATATTATAGATTCATCCGCGAAATGAATCTCTACACGCCAGGAGATGGTCTTTTCAGTACTCATGTCACTTTGGAGGACATCGAACAGGATATGCAACGAGCGCTCGGCACTGACTCGTCGTTTGGACCAAACAAGTCCATAAAAGATATTGGAGATAAAAAGGTAATCAACATTGATTTAGGTAGCTTGTGTTGCGAGTATAGCTTCCGATCTTTTCCAGCAATCAAAACTGGTCAGCCATCAATGCGCTATGTACCATCTTTTACATCGCGGGTTCCTCTTCTCTTCAGCTTACTATTTCGGTGCAAGATTAGCCCTCAGGATCTCTTAATATGGTTGTGCGCACTGTTTTTGTTCATTTCGAGACACCTTTCTGCGGTAGACTGTACTTGACTGAACGTAAGCCTCGCGTCCAGAAATGGTGAAATTGTAAATGAAATGTTTGTGAGAAAAGCAGAAAAACCGGCTCGAAACGCCTCATATAGAATCCCCCGTGCGGAAGGGGAAGAGCGTAAAGGTGTGGTTGGGCGAGTCCTCCCATGTTGGTGTCAGCCTTCTCTCCTTATCATTACACTCTCACCATTTGAGCTGGAGAGCTAGTAGGACCGTCGGCACGACCCAGGAGCCTTTAGAAACAAGGGCAGGGCATTGTGATGGCCAGTAGGTGGGGCAGCGGCTTCGCCGCGAGGGGATCCCGCTGTCCTCAGCATTTTGAGTCACGGGAGTGGTACATCTTCATGCTCGCGCACGCGACTACCTCGTTCAAGAAGAAAGTCTGAACACCAAGTAGACACGGCGCGTGCCTTTGCCTGCCTGGATTATTTATTTGTTAATCCAGAATAGCATTCTCTTCCTCGTTTCAGGGTTACATGTCAAAAATTGTGCTTGTCGAACCAGACTGGCAGCCTGTAGATAATCAGCTGCCTCGAGTATTCCTTGTGAAGGTTAGTTCCATGCTACTTCTGAGTACATTACTGCAGGAGCTAGAACAAAAATAACTAGAAGCTATTGCTGTTTGCAGCTTCCGAATCTAATTGGAGGCATTTCAGATCCCAACTCAGCTTGTAATGCAGAAATTCCAGAAAGAGATTGCACTGAGCAAAAACAATAAGAGCAGATTTGACGATCCGGAGTTCAGAGACAGGTTCGAGGCGAATGAGAAGCGCGTAAGTTCCTCCTCATCGATTGTGCAAGGTGCGGTTTAGTGCCTCGTTATCCTCGAAGATAAGATGTCCCAGAAGTTGCGTCACTCAGTTTGACTTAGCCGCAATCATTTGATACTTCTTCTTCGGACTGGGAGGTAGTAAATTGCTGCACTTGGCAGGTCGGACCCTACTGAGTGGCGATCTCACTGTTTTGAAAGGCAACTTTGCATTGACCTATGGAACTGCTAAGGCTTTAATACCTTTTCTCCACACGTCCTACCCTTCTTTCTTTTAGCTCAACTATGGTAATCTAGTGGAAGGAGGTTATTTCGGAACGTTTTCTCATTCTATATTGTAGATCCCTAGCGGTGCCATGGAATCTGTCAGCATGCTTTAGAGAAGATACACAACGACATGGTACAATCTAAACCCAAGTTTTCAAGTCGTTCCCTCGTCGATGAGTTTGGACGCCTCCTCGTACTGCACCAGGTCTCCTACACCACCGATACCGAAATATCGCAAGTGTATGCACAGCTGGGTTGTGGAGAACAACAAGAAGAGAGATGGCACAACAAGTAGCGCCGCTTTGAGCATCGGTAAGGCTGGCTCAAAACTAGCAGGTCCGAGGATCTTTTCTTGCCTTTGGCGTCCATAGCTGGTAATTGAAGGCCACTTGACGGGGTTTGCCTACTGAGTGAAAAATACTGTTCAAATGCTTTTACTCTACAAAGCTGCGAGCTTTCTTCGTAACGCTTCACTTTACATAACATGAGAACTAGTTTTATTGGTGTCCTGCATGGTTTATGTTCTTCCTTGTCCTTCTTGGTCTTCTTGGCATCTGAACAGAATTCTGTGGATCATTGCTTCAGAACTACTTCTCTGGATGATACCCGTTACCTTTTGTGGACTTCTTCTCAGGCTACGACACCACAACCCAGGTAGGAGTTCACAGACCCATTGAATGTCTTCCACAGTGTCCTTATCTTCTATGCCAGACTGGCGCCGCCCGCCTCCTCTCCTGAACTGCGATACCTGGGCAAGAAGAGCACGTTTTCAAAATCGCTTCTTCTAGTGATCAAACATTACCTGCCTGTTTCACATCTCCTATGCACACAGCTGGCACGTCCTCATTCACTGGATACACCCCACTTCGAGAATGATCTTTCGAACTGGCGAATACTTTGTCGCAGCAGCACCTTTACCGAGTCGATGTCGTAAACCTGTAAGTTGATCTCCTGCGTTACATCTCCAGTAGACAGCCTGAACATAAGCTCATGTCAAACCCTTACGTTTTCTCCCATTATCGCATTGCGTGCCGACATTCTTGCTGCTCCATTCTCCATGTCTCAACTGGCCATGGGAGTTCCTAAGGTACAGCGCGATGAAGTCTATGCCATAAATCTAGAATAAGCATGTTCCAAAAATGAAAGTCCAGCAAGTTCGTTTGTCAGGAAGCGAATACCTTGTCCAAATTTCTTATGCTTTGCAAATTGCCTTAACTCTCTTGTGACCACGGGTTTCGAAGTCGTGAGCGGTAGTATTACCTTCGTGTCTGCTCGTCCAAGAGACTTCCTGTTAACCACATCAACGAGATAGGGTGCTCTGAAGTGCAGCAGATATAGGGAGGTCGTGTCATTTCGTTACATCCTATTATTCACATTAGTCGAAATCTTGGGCAGGTTAGTAATGTAACGGCGTCACTTGGGAATGCCTCATGTAGTGGCTAAGATCCACAAGAGCGTCAGCATCTAGTGAAAGACACAGGAAACGATTGCGCGGTATTTCGTACCGGTTTCGCGGATAGTCCGTATTTTTCTGAAATACCCAAGATTCATTCACAGTGCTACCCAATTCATTAGACAGCTATTACCTGAACTCGTTAGATCACTCACGCACGTGGAGGGAAGTTGGGCACACTCATGCACACAGCCAAAATCCACTGTCAATAGTGAAAACAGCTACACCTTTGCTGTGACCACGTCCCGCTGTCCACTTCCCTTTCCGGGGCAGTCGTCATATATATGCAATTTTGAATGTGGTTCTCTAGAAGTCCTTTGGCTGATAAGGTCATCAGTACATTTAAGCTGTGGCCTTACTGTTGTCGCTGGTGTAAATCTGATCGACAGTGGCACCGATGGCGACCTTAGTACTGTTTATTGCTGAATGCTCATGAACACCAGCCAGTTTGGGAAGAATCATAGTAGACAAAACTTCGTCCGCTTTCTTTCGTCGACGTTCGCTGCGCAATTTTATTCCGCGACAAACCTGTGAATAAGAGATTCGGTCTGTATTCATCTGATAGAGACTGTGCGTAGCTCTGACGAATTATTCAAGGTTGAGTCCGATATGGCTCGGACAAATGGTATGTCTATTTCCTAAAGAGATCATAATCGCAACGAAATGGAACTCGAAAATGTTACCGGCGGAGATACGTTTAGAAAGAATAAAAGAAGCCTCTTTTTGAAACGCCATCAAACAAACACTTCCCAACTAGTTTCTTTCCGCCACCAATGCCGGCAACGAATTGTCAAGCCGCGTCCAGAGGCCGAACCTCTCGCAAACCGGTCCATACTCTTTCGTAACGCGTAGGTCAGGCCAAAGAACCCGCGGATATCGGACAGACGCCTTAAAGGAAGTCTACACAGAGGCAGTCCCCGCTAGAAGGTACAGAGTCTACTTGTGGACATAATTCGAAGTTTTGCGGTCGGGCAACGTATTCATAGAAGAGAATGAACCATGCGATACCCTCCCGAGGGAGCTGGATTTGGACTCGCTGCGGAAAAAGCCGATCGTATCAAACATTCGGGGGATAATGGCGACCGCTTCTTATGGTGAGGTCAGAAGTAGTGTCGTTTCGGCGAGGCCTTGACCAGTCAATCGGCAAGGGTGCTGAAACTCGCGCGATTGGTACCCCCATGCTCTGACGCAGCGGGACATGGAATCGGCGGTGGGGCGAGGTCGTCACTTATCGTTGCGTTCACCTTCAAAGCGCCAGCAGCATTGGCACGACGAAATAGATCACTGATCTATGAGAAGTGGGTCCCTCTACTCTAACTCTCACCTGCGTGTCAACCATGGGTCGACAAAGGGATGGCGACGGCCAAACGAAGTCCCGCAGAACCCAGTTCACACCCGAAAAAGGTGATGCTCTGTAATAGTGGGCGTACATGGCGTAGAGTAGGGGAACTGGGTGCGGTGAAGTGGCAGCAGTGACTGCCCGACGTCTACATTACGTGCAATTACGAAGAACTGAAGGCAAATGCGAAAATTGCGCAAAGCTGGTGGGTCCCATGTACTCAGCAGGCGATCCAACGCGAGATCCGGCATAATTGGCAAGATCGACGAAGCGTGTCGTAGCAGTTGGAACCGTGCCTTTCACACGCCACCGTATCTGCTCGCAGAGCGGCGCCGATTCGTATTTTCCACTTCCAATTTCTCTACACCTATAAAAGCGTCCACCTGGACGGCCAAGACTTCAAGTGCGAAAACGGAAGCTAAGCCTAGCTTCTTTGAGTTCACGGCCCTTTCTAAAGGCTACTTAGATAAGAAAGTGTAGTAAGAAATCTAACAAATTAATAAGTGACTATGTAAAATTTTACGTCAAATTCAGCCTGAAAATCTCATTATTCAAAACGTCGCGACGACGTCAGAAACGGCACTCGAGACTTCTCGCAGGCCCAGGCCCCCGTGCTTCTGAAGCACAGGGCATACCACGATCCTGCCTATCGCGGTGGCAGAAGGTCAATTGATGAAGATGGAGCATATTTCAAGAGAACCCCAAGTTGTCGTTAAAAAAGTTGCACGCCATGAAGAAAAAATTTGTGCAATTTGTCCGAACTTATATCGACTCAACGCTCAATAATACCGTACTTCCAGTCAATCGTCCTTGCCCATGCCAAAGTTTTTTGGCAATCGGTAATAGGGAGCATCGACTAGATAGAAAAATGCTAGCAGATGGGGCAAGCACAGAAGTGTTCGGCATTCCTAGAATTTTTGGTAAATGAGCGGAAGACAAAAGGTTGGGCTGAAATTATGCGTGAAGGAGAAGGAAAATGTTGCGCTGGATGGTCCGGAACACATAGGGCTCCTACAGACATACTTTGTATAGGGAACAGCTCTCAAAGTACCCTCAATGTAGCAGCATTATTCGGAAAAAAGTATGGCAATATCCCGGATGTTGGATGTGAATGATTCCTGCCCACCCATAAGTCCAATTCATGAGAGCAGGAGCGGCATATGTTCGTCTCCGTGGGTCGTGTTCGCGAGAGATTCCTCGGAGTTCGCTCTAAAGAGGCACAAATAAAGGCCTGTGGAAACCAAAGAGAAAAATCGGTATAACCTCTAATTGTCACACCACCCTAAGCTTTACAGTTCCTGCCTCTTTGTTCATCAGCTTCTCGAGATACCAATATTAGTTTAGATATGAGAACAGCAGACTATTTATCACGCAGCAAGAATCGCCAGTCGCAATATGAAATATCCGTCATGTACCGGGTTCCCTTGAACAATAATATGGCCCGGCGCATCTTTTCGCCTAGCCGGTTTTTCGCCTCGCACACTGAAGTCTGTAGCATTCTTCACGAGCCTCCTGAAAGTTGTGCCACATTCTGCGGGTTCCTACTAAGAGTATCTTCTTTCCACTATACACGATCGAGTAGCAGGCCAGAGCGCACCTTAGAGGAGAGGGCATCACACGTAACCGCCCATCAACTGTAAACATGTCTGAAACATGCGAATGCATACGTCCAGCGAGAAACGAACGAGTCAGATCTGTATATGAGAGGGAGGAATGAATGACACGGCGCCCTCCTCCCATTCGGTAATCATGGTGAAGGAAAGAATTTCATCAACGCAAATTTACGTCATGTTAAAAGACTTGTGGAAATGCATGAAGTGCTATAATTGTCGTACGGGCATAAAGGAACGCTATGCGTGTTGATGAGAAAACTGGATGTGAACCAGCGACGTCATGTTACGGGCTTTCTCCTATCAAACCTTGGGCATTGTGTGATTGCGGAGATTTCTTCAACACGATACTGTTCAATCAACTTTATTGGCCTAAAACTCCTTCGGGGTTGGATTCGTTCCTTCGTTAGAGCTCTGAAGAGATCGGGAAAGGCAAAATATGCAGTACCTTTTGTTTTCGACCTTATATACATATGTCACTACTCTGTACTGAAAATCGAGATCATTGATCAGTATCATCACCTAATGAGAGAGGGGTCACTCAGCTCCAACTCAGATTCTCCGGATTCTTCGAGACCCAGCCAGAGCCGTAGTACTGGTTTCTCAGTCTGGTTGAACTAAACTGATTGAACAGAATTACCTGAACACAGGTACAGATTCGCCGGAAATGTGGAAATCTTAGAAAACGTGTTTCTGAACCTGTCGCTTTTTTAACACGCTGTTTGTTTCAAAATGCCGCGTTTATCAAGGAATACCTGCTACTATCGATCAAAAGGGCAAAAACCGATGTCTGTGTCATGTTAGTGAAGAACTCTCCGCAGGAATATTCTGGCTTTCATTGAAGATCTTCTCTTAACGACCGGTAATCTGAGCGACTTCTGGATGACGCGTTTTGAACCTTATATGGTCTCGCTCAGAGAAAGTTTTTCCCAAAAGCGGGGGCCTCTGGGTTTTTGCTGTGTAGAAGCTTCAGGAAAAGGAACCGTGAAGAATCAAGGGAATCCCCACGCATTTCGTCACGCAGTAGATGTGACTCATGCAGTGAATTCAAGTCTTTAGACAACCTGCGATGCACGCGCTGACCGTCCGTCATCCTCCTTAAAGAAGATTTTTCCGGGATAGAACGGGCTCACACCTCAAATTTACTGTATCAAGTGTTTTTGTTAGTGATACTATTGTGGTGGTTCTCTTGGTTCCCTCGAAAACGAAGAAGGAACGCGTCCGCGCACGCACCCTTCCATTCCATCAATCCTGATGGTATATGCACGTGTAAGCGGTGCCTCGAGAGAAAGTTGGCTTTCTTCACCGTCGCAACCCTTTCTGTCATCGTTTCTTTCCATATTCTCTTCTTAACAAGTATTTTGATAGGCTTCACTAGGCTTTCTCGAGGGTTTTCATAGGAGAAGCAAAAGCAGAGAGTGGCTTGACCCATTATCCTAGCGACATCGGTATTTCATGGGTCACTTCAGAGATCGAACAATCGTGATGAGAGTACATATTTCCTCGCTCTGTGCTCGATTTTCGCAGATTGTTGAATGAACTGCTGGAACCAGGGAGTGAGCGTTACTCCGCGCTCATCTCGTCATACCACTCAATACAGTTTGTTTAGTTGGCTTTTTTGTATGTTTAAACAAAATGTAATCTCCCGCGGAACGAAGCCGTTGGACCAGGTGGCGCGTGCGTGCATCAGAAGAACCCTTCCGAAAATGGAATGAGGATGACATGGAAGAGCAGTGCACATGTAACAGCAGACTAACGCATTACCTATCTACGATACCGCTCCTAATTCGTGGTAAAAATCGGATTGATTAAGGGAATCTCTGGAAGGATGATCGAGCGGAAATCTTCATTCTACGTTTTGGTAGACTGACGTTATGTCACTTCTTGTGGAAAGATGTCTTACCAATCATCACATGTCTCAAACCATTCTCCGCTTGGAAGCGAGTGGCCGAAATCAATATGCTCTCCAGAATGCTATATGTTTTCTATTTTCTTTCTCAATTCAGGTAGAAATGAGCAAAAAGGTGAGAGCTCATTTAGGGGCAAGATTTCTATTTGTTGACTTTTTTCATTCGTCGAACTATATACCTAGTGTAAGTTTTCACCTGTTGATGTGCGTAAAATGTTAGTGTTTTGGTTAGTTGGTCGAGTGTTCTTTCTTTTTTTTTCTCCGTTGTTTGAACTAGACTTGTAAGGCTATTAAACGTTTTGAAAGATTGGAACAGTCAGCGTTAGGCAACTTTTAATTTCGCGTGTATAAATTGGAACAATAAAAACAAAGGAACGCCAAAGAAGCTCAAGGACGGTCTCCCGCAAAAGATGAACCTCCTCGTCTCATATTTCAGAATCCGTTTATGTATAGAAGTGTAATTACCAGTTAGTAGCCATCATTAAGGAAAAAAGGTCTCAGCTAGATGGCTTCCTCATTTATCAAGTGACGGTCCATAATAGCGTTGAGGACGGCGCCTCTGGCTCAGGTACGAATCGCGGCGATCGCCGAGGTCGGCCGCGACTCGGCGCGGCTGCGCGAGGTATGAACGCTGTCATCTACAACATGATATTAGGCGTGTTTGAAGAGTGGCAAGAGGCCGCCCCTAACCAACTTTTGTTTAGACCGCGATGATGAAATTTTGCATTGTCTTCGCCCAACCCAAGTCGAGCTTCGTTCCTATCCGAATCACTGAATGGACACCTTATCTCTTGCCGCCAATAATTCACTACGCTCGGTCACAAAGCAGGGAATTGTTAATCGGTTAATCTTAATACGGTTAAGCTCCGCGAATGTGTTTGACTAACGTCCAATTACAGATTTTGCGATATTGACGCGAATATGTGCAAGGTATTTGAAACAAGCGGCTATCCCAGAGAAGTGACGCCTAACTCTGAAAATGGCAAATCTATTCTATAAACTGGCTGTTATTCTGCTCAGGGAGCGTTGATGAGATCATAAGTCTCCGACAGCTCTGACATCTATTATTTCAGTGTCACAACTCGAGTAGCGATATACAGTCCCCTACCAAGATTACCTGGTGGAAAAATCGACTTTGCAAAGGTAGAGCTTTTTATTACTAAACCCGTATCCTAGCTTCGAGAGAGTGCCTGCATTTTTGTGCTCATCTACTTTTTTAAATCTTGATGCCGCAGAGCTCCTGTGCGTTAGAATCGTAGCTTTCCAGATATTCTGTACAAGAATTTTCACGAGAAAGCACCTGGATAAAGGCATATTTGGCTATGGGAGTACTAGAAATATTCAATGTGTGACAAGATTTTTGAAAAGAGTCTTCTGCAGAGCAAGTAAAACAGGTAAGTTTAACCCAAGGCATTCCACAGCCTTAAATTGCACCGGCACCAACTCCCTTCACATTCACTTATTTGGAATACTTCATGAGCTCGTAACACACAGTAACGCAACTTGAGCCATTGAAGGCACACGGTATCTTTGTGGCCGAGAGATGGGTAGAGTATGAATTTGCTTTTCGATAGTCGATTTGCAAGGCATCGAGAATTAATGAGCAGGTCTAAGAACAGGCTCTAGGACGAAGCCCTCGCTTTCGGCGATCTTAAGAATGAGGAGCATACTGGAGCGTGCGGAGGCAAAAGTGACATGGAGGCGGTGCTGAGCGATATCAGATGGTGAGAGATAAGATGAAGCAAAAAGGCGAAAGAGCGGCCATGCTATCTTCTCCCAGAACGGATTGAGCAGTTGAAAGCCGCGTTTTCGCACTCAAATTAACTCCCTTAGCGCTTCCACATAGGCACATTGAGTCCTGGGAGTGTAACAACGTCTCGATTACGAATGGGCTATCCTGTAAGGATGGGTGTCCGCGGATGCGACGGTCGCCGTTGGGGCGCACCTCCCCCGCCGCCCCGGCGCACTCGTGCCGGTTCCTAACCGGCGTAGTGCGATTCACGTGCGCCGTGGATCTCGCCCCTGCGGTCCGTGCTAGTTACGTACGCTTCGACGGCTGGCAGCCAGTTGCGGCGTGTTTTCACCGGCAACGCGATGACACTGCGAAGGCAGAGGGGTAGTGGAGTCACATCCGAAGCTGGAGGCAGCCGGAAGCGCCGCAGCCTGAGCGGCCGACGTCCATCCCTGGCTCCCCGACTGGGAGCAGCGTCACTCCAGCCCGACGAGGACATCGAAGATCCGATGGAGGAACGAGATATCGCCCGGCAAATGGGGGGCAATATGTCACTTTATTGCGTCCAAGGGGATAAGCTTAGCAGGCCCTATTGGCGTACTCGGAGGGCGGAGCCAGTGGGCCTATTGCGTTATGTGCAGCTATGGAACGAAGCACCCATAAGATCGGCGACAGGGAAGCAAGCTACTATGTAGTGTGGTTGAGTATTTGGTAGTAATATGTTTATTCACAACGCGTAGTTATGTTTAATATGTTGGTTAATTGCATCGTTATTGTAGCATATAGGTTGTGGTGTATAGCGTGGGTAACCGCGTGTCGTATTAGAAGTCATGTGTAGGTTAGGGCTTGAGAGTACGCCTGGTCCTGTCGTCTAAGCTGTTGGGCGCGTTGCATAGGCGGTAAGACCTGGTCCCCGAGGATGGTCCGCTCCTCCTGTTAGGGGCGCATGAGGAGTTTAGTGCGGCGCGATGGGCGTCCGACTGGTAAGTCGGCGCACCGGGAGTTTGAAGTCGTTGACGCCGATGTTCGATCGCACATACGGGAAGTGGTGCAGGCCGTCCGCGCAGATGGGTTCTGCCCATTAGGAAATCGCATTGGTTCCATATGGCTCTTAAGATTGAGTGATAGGGATGGCACAGAACAACTTTACAATATTTCTTAGCTGCCGCGTATTCGTTTTAATGCACTAAGTATCAGGCAACCAATCAAGTTAATGCGTTTTTTTTGATTGTGTACCTTTATGAAAGTATATTCAGTAACAGCGTCTAGTGGTAGGAGTAACTTTGAATACATGTTAAGAACATATGTGAAGGAGTGTCATCAGTGCAATTTGTTAATTATAGAATTACTTTTCAATTAAGCGCGAACAAAAGTGTGTGGTTTTCCGCAGGACAATTCAAGTACCACACACTGCAAGATATCACTAGGAAAAACGCGGCGACTATAGGATGGGAAATTCTACCTCACCCTCCGATAACTCGGCGGCAGACTTGCTCCAATGGCTATATTTGTTTTTGTCTTTAGACATCAGTGAGGAATGCGGCCATTCAGAGAATTAGTAGGCTTTGGACAACGAACTACAAATTTCTTCAATTCTCATAAGCAAGGTTTTACAAAACGGATATATGCTTGTGCCTAAATGGGACAAGTGTATTACTTGCTGAGAGGTAATATTTTTCGGTAATATCTAAGTTCAACCCTTATTTTATGTATATTATTTCGCTTCCTTCAAACGCAAACTTTTTTGGTGGCTTGATAGATTCGTAGAAGGAGCATACGGAGCCGCCGGAGGCATAGTGACATCGGGAGCGCTGCTGAGATGTCAGAGGTGAGAGATAAGACAACAGCAAAAAGAGCGAAACCACAGGCCACCATGCTTTCTTTTCCACCTGAATATGAGAGTTCGCACCAAAATCTTAACTCTCTTACGCGCTTCCACATTAGGCACATTTGAGCCCCGGAAGTGTAAAAACGTCTGGCTATCCGTACAAGGATGGGTTCCTGCCCATGAGGGGAATCGCCGAACTTGTTCAATATGTCTTACGATGAGTGATAGAATGGCATTAGAACAACGTTGACCAAACTATTTCTTAGCTGCTCAGTATTGGTTTTGATGCCACTAAAGTAGAATCCCGTGCCATGTCAGTTGAGAACATCTAGGCGGCGGCACTTCCACGCCGGTCTGAACCTAGCTTTGTGGTCTTTGTTTAGTGCCTTCTCGCCTTACCTGCCCCACTCACTCATGCGTCCTTGTCAGAATGATGCCCGATTTAGACCCTTATCCTGTCAGCTTTTATAATTGTAGATAACTGCAGCAAGAGAATCATTTCGCACGCGCTCCTGTTGGAAAACTCTTAAAGATACCAATGTGAGAATCGTAGCACCCACGCGTCTCCAACAAAACCTGTAGTGATTCTTAATCAGGTCTTCAACTGTGATGAGTATGTTTAAAGGTGGGAAGCGAAATCGAGTTCCTTTTGTAGGAATATGTGTGGGCGTAGTTTCTTATAAAACCGTTCGCGGGTCAAGCCGGTGTAGGGCTGAAGAGCTTTTATCCTTCCACAAGAGTACACCATAAATTAGACAGTGGAGGGGTAGGTTTCCTGAATGGTGCAAGCAAGCTTTGATCCGACGTCTCAAGCGGTATACCGACCTCATCGACATCAAAGTAATCCGAGTACTCGGAGATTTCATTTGTTGAGATGTGGACGCTAGAAAGTCATCTAATGCTTCGACAAATTTCAGATTCTACGCTTTAAAGCCGTTCTCGAGGCGACCTCCCTTGACATGCCCCTGGACGAAAGGAAACAACTTGTTGAAAATCCTTTCGAAAACGTTTGGAGTACAATGTTCAAAGATGAGGTATGTCAGCGTGTTACTGATGCTTTGAAAGCTGCTTCTGCGGTGTGCCCATTTCCTGGTCATCGTGGAAAGGCAAACCATAATCTGAGCTAGTTGGCCCTGCGTACCAATGTTGATATCCAAATCGTGAGACCTCCGAGGGAGCGATGCGCGAATTACTAGATAACTCAAGATATTTTTGGGTCGCAAGTTGAAGAAATGTTCCACGCTGCTCGTTGAAATCCATCGGCACCTGGACATGGTATAGTGCCATTGGCGCACACCTTTTTGTAATTGAAAAAAAAAGAGCCGCCACCAAATGGAGTTAGATCCAACCCCACCAAAGACGAGAGGAAAGTGTCTCATATATAGGCCTCCACGAGCAAATCACCCCGATAATGTTCGTGGACCCCTGATGCAAAAATTTCCGCATTTCTGCAGAAAATTTTAGCTGAAAGCGACAACATAATTACGTAACGTACTCTGCCAGATAAGTAATCGGAATCTGGAAAAGGAAAAGAAAAGATTTGAATAAAAGCTTCAACAACAGCTCCGGCAAGTCCTACTGACAGTCACCTAAGCACTGAAGCCCTTATCTGTTATTTTTATACGATCTTCTAACAGACCACCGCCCTCTGACTGCAGAGTTTAGGTAGAGTATACACCTAAATGGTTATCAGAACTTGCCGAAAATCACTAAAGGCTGCATCACTTATCTAAATGGGCAATGGCACAAAAAGCATCAAACGGGGACGAGGTGGCCGGGATAACGCAGCTACCCGGTGAGCGAGATTGCGTTCGATTCTGCACAAGTCTGATTTTCGCCTGCATCAGTCATATCGTTAAGAAGGTCCTTGACAACTTTGTAATTACTATTGGAATTGGACTTTGTGAATTAAGAATCACGTCAAAAAAGACAAGTCGTCAACAATCATGACTCCTCCCTGTCATAAAAAAGCGTTTTATCGATAAGATCAGCTATGAGCCCTACCCGTCACTGATCACACGGAGTCACTGTTGGGATAAGTAAAGGCTAGGCATTATCCTGTTCTGAGTTTGCATATGCTGCTCACGAGACCTTCTCCCGTTACTCTAATAGATAACGAAAGTTTTTGGGATATTGGGTGGACAATTGATCGGATAGCCTGAAGCAACAACTCATCAACGACGTGACAAGAACAAACCTAACAATTTCGAGGGAAAAGGCATAGGGAAGGTTTCCTTTGATCTGGGTACCCGCCGTGCACTCTTTCAGGATAAGCTCCGAGAATATTGAGAGCCGTGCATCATTTTGAGTTTTGCCCTATTTTTCTTGACATGTCCAATTTCAGCTAATATCTAACGTTATGGAGAGATTCCGCACATTTGAAGGTGGACGACTAGCAGAAAGGGCTGATCGTCTGAACAATATCATGAACGACATGGTCGATCTCTATTGGGCGGACCATTTAGCTGAAGTACTAGGTGAGCAGAAATTTCTACATGCCCAAAAGTAGCTGAGAGAATGAAGGCGTACTTGTCACATGTATAAGAAGAAGAACTGAGGCGTGCAAACGGAGAGGTCAATTCCTTTGCCTCTGCTTATGTGGCTACCACCGCACCTATATATAACCATGATACCTTCCTACATGTGGCGTGTGACGAGTCGTGGATTGGAGTGCTGCCGAGGTGGCCTCTCCACCAATGATGTGATCCTGAGTCCGCTACATTTGCCGGGAACGGCTGTTGTGGTTGCGATCCAGCCCTCACCCCATTACACGTACTATCGTTTGCAGAAGCCACGACCATACGTTCATTTTATACGGCACCCTTTATGGTGAAGGCTTCCACTCCTCGTTTCAGTGCGCTGACAGAACTGTCAGCCGAAATGGATCCTGAGAAGCTTCGGCTTAATGAGGTCTGCGGGTTTGCTATGAATCTCGTGTAAGCTCTGCACCCTCAGTAGTGAGTCTAACACTACAAAATTCTAGGGCCGGGTTACGAAGCCTTTTTGTGGATACAGTGCGCACAGTACGATCCTCCTAACATACGAGCCTGGTACCCGTCCCTGGAGGGAACAAGGCCAAATGCCCTGGACTGGAGTTGGTCCGGGATTTGACACGCACTGTGCGCGTGGTAAGCGTGCCAGATGCCACATCATACATCGCTCGCCACTACGAAACTACATATTCAGTAACAAATTAATGAGGCTAGAACAGACGATTCGGCCCGTTTCCGCCACAGACATGCCTTTTTCCCGATTCTGCAGTACAGTCTCTGTCGCTATTCAACAATTCTGGATTTCGTTTCATTTCTCTGGGGGCCGGAGCGGGATCCCTCGCACGCCCAGAAGAAAGGTTCTTTCTTGGAGGACTTCGCGACGTCCGCTATTCAAAAAAATTGGACCGCTTATTATAAAGCGCGATTTGCTCTGACATTTTTGGAATGTAACCCAATCCAGAATTGTTGATATAGCCACAGAGACTGTACTGAGAATTCGGGAAAAAAGGAGCGGGAGATGAGTACGATGCATCAATGGCTGTGAAAGGTGGGAGTTTCAAAAAAGAACAAACCACAGAGAAGCACAAACTGCGACTGCTTCGGCCCAGCGATTTACCAGGCTGGTATTTCAAGTAAAAATTCGCTCCTAAACTCTAGAATTATCTCCGTCTCTTCCTTCAGACATTACTCTCACATTCATTCATTTTGGTCTGGCCGAATAGTCACAGTCAACCACACGTACTTTCCTTTAAGGAATGGAGAGAGTTCTATGTCATGGAGATTTATGGTCGATGAACATTCTCTGGAGGGAAAATGGAAATGAACTCAAATTCACTACTTTAGTTGACTATCAGGTAATAAGAAAGCTATTAACAAGAACCGCAGAGAAGGACCGTAGGAAACACGGTGCATAGTTGGCCGCCGTCATCAAGCGCTAACGCACCTCCCTCCAACTAAGGCTCAAGCTTGGAGCGCAGACGACCAGAGCTGCGTAGGAGTTGTGCAAACAGACAGAGGATGTGTCTCTCATAGTACGCGAAAAATTTGGTGATGCTTCAGTGGCCATGGTACGGTATTAGAACTATACTGCTTATGAGGGGTTTGTTTCCGTGTTCTTCCTTCAACGCCTTAATTTTCTTGATGGTTGATGACAAGCTGTACCTTCATCTCCGAACATGACCCTTCCAAGTGCGACGTGGCTGCAGTAGCGTGCCACCTGCTTTGCTCAAAATGAAGGGAACGGAAGGTAGTGACACCTAGGACATGCGTCAACCTGCGAAAGACAGCCCTTTAGCGTAGAGCACAGCTAGTAGTAGCGAGATGACGCAGACAGGCAGCGCGTTTGGCTACGTCACTCGTGTGGCTAGCAGTGCCCCGGCCGGGGCGGAGTATGGAGATGGCCCGTAGATGTCCTTACACTCCAGTCTCATTCCGCCGCACTGTTGATCGGAGGAAGTGGCACTGCACTGCAGCTGCGGACCCATTCACAAAACTCATCCCCTAACAAGGATCAGGCTCCACGGATGTGAGTGTACAGTTTGTCTTTAGACGGGACTGAGTGCTGAAATTTGCGAGGAAACGATTATGGGTCAGAGGATGCAACGAGGGTTATCAAATTCCTGGCATGGGCCATCAAGCCCTGATACCTCTCAAAGCTGAACTGAAAGTCATTTTCTGGAACGTCCTATCGCTGTTGTGCCCCCTAACCTACGAGCTGAGGTCCAACTGTGTTCCCTCTATATGCAATGTTAATTTATTGTAGTGTTCGCTGCGGACGGTTGGGTGTCACTGCGGCTTGCGTTTGGCAGCTGCCAAACTCGCTCTCGACAGTTTTTGAAGCGCCGGCAAGTGGACAGTACTATATCATATCCTTCGTATTACTCGTTTTCTACCACTTTTTGTCGCATGCGCGTTTACAACGAGAAGGCAGGAGACGGCTCTGATGGGGTGACACAATCACTACTGGCTGACACGCCAACGTCCGCAGCAAACTAGATTTGTTACTAGCGCTGCAGCCTCGTGTGTAGCTAAATGATCGCTTATAGAGACATGAGAAGTGCCCCTAAGAAACGGAGAGCATAGTTAAGATGCTAACAGATCAACTACAGGTTGCTCATTTCGGCTGCTCCGCAACCGATCTTGTTCGATTGTTCTCAAGCAAGCCTGCCTCTGGTAATGACAGGAGAGGCTCACTGGGAGGAGTTTACTGGAACGTTATACTATGGATATGTCAAAGAGGAAATGGGCGACAAAGAATGCCGCTACTCCCTAGAACAGGTAGGAATTCCATTCATTTTGCCGAGCAAGATCAGAATAGAATAGAAAGCATACTGGCGGGACATATGTAACCTGCTAATTCTTCCATCATTGCCGTAGAAATCGTTTCATCTGTCATGTTCTTGCTCTGTTTCTTTTTCTGCATTTTTATGCTGTTGCACGAGGACAGAAAAAAGCTCGTCCTATGTTCCCATGGCTTATTGTTCTCTCAATGAAGAGCTTACCCATATTTACCTGAAGCTAATTTCCTTAACTGTTGTCAAAAGAGACTTGATATTTCAGGTGAAAGAAGCATACCGTCAGTACTTTCCCATGGGAGCTTACCTGATTGTGCCATCAATAGCACCTCTTTACGAGTTGCTATGTGATACATCCGATGAAGAGCGCAGAAAGAAGGTATTGAACGATTTTCCATTAGGCATGCTGATAAATTCAACAAGTTAGGAGACTTCCATTTCTCCTAACAGTTATTAATGAACACTCGTGATCCACTTGGAGTGAGCGCTCAGGTGCTCTTTAGCGGCGAGTTCAACGACGAGGGCAGGGGGGGGCGTTTTGCACTTTTTTTACTTTCTGTCGACGTGGACCCATCTGGAGGGTATTTCGTGGAGATTGCAAGAAGTTAAACAGCTTTTACCACGGTGGCTGGCGAGCTTGCTCCAGAAAGTTCACAACTTTAACCAGAGTGAGACTTGTAGACCGGAAGTAGTGAAGCAGTGAAAGTGCCAACCCCCCCCCCCCCGGTGGCCGAACTACGCCGCTACCTCAGTTCATTACCGTCACATTTTTGCTGGCTGGCCGCAGTTTACAGTCTTGTTCGTTGCAGATGCTGCAACGCTTTGGGCAGGGGCGTGTGCGGATGCTAGCAAATGACAACAATTGATGGAGAACTCGTTGGCGCTGCACCAAACCCAGCTCCTTCCTTCTGAAACGCCTCAACACCCGCGGCGAACAAAAAAATTAATTACAGCGCCTGGGAAGGGTGTGTCCATGGACATAATCTCAAGCGGGACTACGGCCACATTTCTGTAGCGCAGGGGAGCGACAGAACTGGATGCAGCCCAAAGGCAGACGACTGTATAATAGCGCATAAGCGCCTGTGTTGTTTCCGTCCTGAATCGGGGACATTCAAGTCCGTGAGCACGCCTCCCCCCTGCAGGCGCCGGAGGGTAGGGGTAGCTGACAGTTACAATAGTCAACCAGTTCCTTCTACGATCGAGCTGTCGAGCGGGGGGGGGGGTGGGGGAGAAGATGAAAAGCCCACCTATATGAAACAGGAAAAACCGCGAAAAAGTACAACCGGGAAAAATTGTTTCCAACGCCGCAAATTCCTCTCAGAAGGCTGATGAACCCTTCCCAACAACGAGAAAACACGCCTCCCCTCATAGAGTCCGTGGAAAAAGAAAATCACCAATAAAAAATTCTCGCATCAGTCAACCATTTGCGACCCCCCCAAGCGGCCAAATACGACTCCTCTCTCGGGAACCTCGACTGATCCACCCTATACTACGTGCAATAACGGTGCTGTCAATGTGTTGACA